AAAAAAAAATCCGCGAAGGCTTAGCATATTTGTAGAGCATGGTATAATCGTCCATATACCATGATGGTTAAGCCAATGAAAACTCTTGAATTGCGTTATCCAGTGATCCAGTTTTTAATAACATTCAATTGGACTATCATAACAAATTCTAGAAAAGAACATACTCATTCATGAAACGGTTAGTCTATCACGCTGTTTTGTTCAAACATGTCAACGCGATATTTGTTATTTGTAATTTTGTTTTGAAGTGACATCATCGTATATTTAAGTAACTTTGCAATGTTTAAAAATATCTCTTAATTGAAGAAAACCGCTTCGTTATGGTTATGGTACATCATGTTAGAAAATTACGAAAGAGGCACTAATAAACCAAGAAGAAACGATGTTGGTTAAGACCGGGTAAGATGAAGGCGTATCTGAATACGAGCGAAGACGAAGAAGCTAAGTTTTTTTAAGATAAGCCAGTCGTGACTCGACCTCCGGACACACAGTTCAACATAGTGCCCAACAAAATTACAGCCCGTTTCCATCCTTGAGTTATCTCCATCATTCTGCTACACTACACCGGAGGAGATTTCACTCTGAAAACGCATCAAATGTTTTCCGTCCACACTACACCAGAGGAATTTAGAAACGCAACGATCACCGGTCATTTTGGATTTGTGTTCGAGTAAAACTCGGTCAGGGAAATCACGTGATTATCGTAAAGCCATTGTTTTCGAAAATCTCTGTTTTCAAAATGTTTTCCGTCCACACGAGAACGAAAAGCCGGCAGTTTCAAATTCCTCAGGTTTGAATGGCGTTTTGGTGACGGATTAGTGTGGACGGTAGGTCTAACAGCAGAAATAAAGCTGCGTTTTGAAATTTCTCCGGCGTAGTGTGGACGCTGCGTTAGGCGCGACAATTTTGGGATTACACATCACGCAATTCACTTATGCGAGCTATTTATCAAACTTGAAGTGTATGTTCGTGCGTTTAGAATGTGGGCTTGACGTAGTGTCTTGGATGTAAGGAAGAATGCAATAACAGTTTTTAGTGAAAGAATTAATACGAAAAGCGATAATTTCCGCATATATCAGAATCGTGTGTGTTAGATATTTATTAATAATTATTTGTTGAAGCGGTGTTCTATACCACTGCCATGCACATAGTTGGTTTCCCTGACCGCTAAGCCAATCAAAAGCCAAGCTTAGTGTTCAATCAACCGGCCTTACGTGCGGTTCTTTCCTCTCTCTCATTGGCTGAAAAGTTAGGAAACCCAACAAAAAACCTTTCTCATTGGCGAAGGTATATGATTGCACTCGCTTCCTGTTTATAGTCTTAAAAACGCTTATGTTTCTTTCCAAATATGTAAAATTTATAAGCACGTATTTTTTTTTTGGAATAGTTTTTACAAAGAAACTTGGATGTTCATCTTTTGCCTCCAATAAAGCATTGCGCTCTAATCAATCTTTATTATTTTTGTTGCTACAAGTTTCTCAGGAGTGCTGTAAATACGACTCAAGTCATTTTTTGTACAGGAATAAATGTAGAGCAGAAAACTAAAGCTGTAAAATGAATGAAAATTAATAAAAGCAATTTGACTCTGTGATCTTATTTGTCTTGGGGCTGTAATCTTCAACAAGGAATGAAAATTGTTCTCCTTTTCAAGGGGGCCGCAGCCGTTCTTTGGGGCCGTCAGTGATAGAAGTTATGTGGAAACATGCAGAAATTTGCTCAGCCAGTTTACACTTTAAATTTACCTTGATCTTTCTTACAGAAAGCACTTTTCATTGATCATAAGAGGGTTGCTATAAACACAATAGTTAAAACCTGTAGAAATCTTAAAATGAGTTCCCCCGACTTTGGTCAGTGGTTTAGAATTTCTCTGGCTAGCTATTAAATGACAATACTTTCGCACACCTTCAAGAAAGAGTGTTTCGTTGTCTGTCGATGGTTCGTAATGTTCCCCCCCGCCAACCCATGAGTTTGTAGACGGACTTTTTTCTTTTCATAAAATCGCTTTTCGTGAATGAGGGTATGTCCTTCGGTAAGTACTTCGTCGGGTTTGACAAAAAACTGCAGCAAAATACCCCTGATTGTGTTTAAAATTTGATAACAAATCTGTCTGGTGTGCCATGATCAAATTTAATTTTGTCAGTATCTCACTATGCAAGTCAGCGAATCCCTCGATACACTTTATAAACAAAACATTGCAAACTTTTGTGGTATACTATTAGATGCTTTGTGGGTAGATGAATTGGCGAAGGTCTAAATGGAACGAGAGGGAGGTAGAGAAAGAAAAATAGACCTTTTCGCTTCTTTCTTCTAGCGTGTGGTCCACGCACGCGTTTTTTCCTACCCTTGCTCTCCGCGCTTGTTTCTCGCGCTCGCTTCCCGTGCTTATTTCCCGCCTGTGCATCGACAGCATACTAACAAGAAACTTTCGGACATGATTGGCTCCAATAGAGTCGGAAGGTTTTCGGCACCTTTTCAAGCGTTCGGATGTCGCCGCTGCCCTTCCCCCACCCTATCCCCCCTCAAGGCGTTTGTGAGCCAGCCGCAAGAACTAAATTACAGCTGCTAAACTGCACGCAGTGAACTGAACAGTTCTTAGTTGGGAAGGAAGCCATTAATTCGGGGGACACAGCAGCGCTAGAGTTGCTGTTACTAGAAGTCTTCACGGCTTGTCCAAAGTCCCACACCCTCACACTACTGTCCAGACCTCCTGAAGCCAGTAGAGTCCCATCCGCGCTGAAAGCGAGGCTGTACACCGTGTCCGTGTGCCCGCGTAGTTCTTTTATCATGCTTCCAGCGGATAAGTCCCAAAGACGAATGCGCCGGTCTTCTCCAGCGGACACCAGGTATTGGCCGTCAGGAGAAATTGCCAGATCATTAACTGAACCCTACGAGTAATGAAGAAAAAATAACGAAGGATTCAACTTGCTAACTTACTTTGTTTTGTTTTAGGGGAAAACGTTTCCGAACAATCAAGAAAATTCAAATTACGTGAAAAATAGTCTTTTCAGTTTGAAATCTCGTCGCCGACAATCTTTCTGTTTTTCCGCATAAAGCCCTGGCGTGACGTGTTGCCTTTCAGCAAATCAAATTGTAGAATTATGATGACGTGAGGTGAAAATTACCGCCAATTTCTAAGTGCGGCACCTTCCGAAGTGTGTCTGACACAAACAACTTGTACACTTCTTCAAAGAACTATGCTAGTCAACTGAGATCTATCGAGACTTTATTACACGAAAACTACTACTACCAGCAAGACCATTTTGGTGGCGGCAAGATGAAGGGTTCTTAATAATCACTTTCCTGCAGCGATGTCAATTTTTCTTCGTAAAAGAGGGAATTCATTGCATGTTATTGTTATTGTTGTTGTTCAAGTACCTTGTGTCCTGTGAAAAGTCTGACACAGTTTCCCGACTGCAGGTCCCACAGTCGACAAGTTTGATCGGTGGAAGCTGTGGCGAGGTACGTACAGTTTTGATGAAATTTCACGCACTGGAAGAAAAACGTATTTTAACTCGTAAGGCTATAAGAATGTGGGTTACGGAACAATCTTGAGGTCAAGATATGTGGGTTATTGACCAAGCGTGAGGTCAAGATGGCTGGATATTGGCCATGGTCTTTTTTGCGTGGTTATGAACCGAGACGGAGTCGAGGTCCGCAAAATCGCATAAAGGCCAATAACCAGCCATTTTGACCGAACAAGCTTGGTCAATAAAAGACTTTATTATATGGACATTGCTGAACCAGACTTGGCTTCGGGAAACACTTTTCTTGCGGAACACAGCGCCTAATCCCGAGCGGGCAAGATAGCGCCATCTTGCCCGCTCGGACAGCCAATCACAGAGCAGGATTAAGTTCATCTTGGACCACTCACGGAGCTAGCCATATAACAAAGTTCCTTCTTGTCTACTAGGTTAGCCAATCATAGCGCTGGATTTGGTTCATCTTGCCCGCTCGAGGAGCTCGCCACATTTTTTCGCACTTACAGTTGACTCCCGTAACTCGAACCCTCGCTAACTCGAACCCCCCGCTAACTCGAAGTAATTTTCATTTCCCTTCAGGCCATTTTCTATATAATTTTACCCTTGATAACTCGAGCCTTTTACTATTTCCCCGGAAGGTTAGAGTTATCGGGAATCGACTCGAAACAGAAACTTTGAAACTTATTTTGAGGGCGTCGACATCCGAGTTATTCGGAAATTCTTATGCTTGAAATTGCTCTGCAAGCTTGCGTTAACTCGAAAGCGTTTTAACAAGCGCTCTGTAATGAGCACTTGTGCTTACATCGACGTCTTGAAGATGTCCTGCAAATATTCTCAAGGGAAATGTATACTCCAAATTCCATAGCCTGGCTGTGCGGTCCTGGGAACCAGTGGCGAAGTACAGACATTGAGGACTGATGTCCAGGGCCCACACGGGAAAGCTGTGTCCCTTGTAGGCAACTACGTTGGTGTAAGAGTGTAGGCTCCATAAACGAACTGGTGAGAAAACGAAAACAACGTTCCACATGTCAAATGAACTTTGATCTTATTTTCACTATTGTGTTCAGAGAGATATTTGACTCAATCCCAGCCAGTTCTTCGTGGGTAACGCGTGAAAAGAACTTGATTGTGCGTGGCACAGGTAAGTAAAACTATAGCTTTTCCAAGGCAGGGGCACCTAACGACGGTTTTCTCTCAAATGCTTTAAAATGTTGTCTTAGGCTATCTGGAGTGCTTTTATAGCTATGTGCTTCAATTTTAAGTTGCGCTAAAAAAACTTTTATCTGTTCGGTCACGTAGGGAAAATTGAGTCATTCCAATTTTTTTAGGGCTTTACCATTTCCCGAAAACCTTAGGTCTTCAGTTTTTGCTTTTCCGCAAATCATTGCTGACCTTTTCTTGGTGCCCAAAACGACATTTTTATCAATCCGAAAACGACAGCATTAAATATCTCATATCACGAAAGTTCAAGGTAGTAATATTCTCTTAAGAAAATTGGACAGGATTACAAGCCTTCCGAACTGTTGATATAGTAAAATAATCCTTTGGGTGCCCCTGATTCGATAAGTGTCATTACGATACCGTGAAACAACGTTAATATAAGAATTTTACGGTAATGTAACAAACGTATTCAGCAACTCGAAACAAGGAAAAAGAAAGGCAGAAAAAACGTCTTGTTTTCGCATCCAATGTGTATTTCTTATGCAGGGTTAGGCTGTTTTGAAACTATTTCAACGAGTTTCAGAAAACAGTTAGGCTAAACCTCGCTGAAACTGCTTCAAAATGGCCTAAACTTTCACCGCAACATAAGAAATACATCAAGGAAGCGAAGAAAGGCGTTTTCTTCACCGTAAAAATTATTTGGAAAACACGTGACAAGTGGGCCGTGATGACGGGCGTGATGGTCCCGTGCCGCACCAGTGACTTGTACGTGAGCCACCAACATTCGAAGAGGTTTCTCGACGTTATATAACATTCCGAAAACGAGCACCATCACGCTCGAAACAAACAGCTACGATATAATTTTATGGTTGCTAGCAAATCCCGCAAGTAGCAACACTCCGAAAGTAGCGAGTTTACACGCCATTTGACTTAGTGTGTTCAAATGAAAATACCGGTTCAACAAGATGTTTTCATGAACCCCAACTCCAAAGGAAATATGTAACTAAGTTTTGATGTAGTTCAAATTATTTTCCACAATATTTACTCTTTCCGGATCTCTGCATGTAGAAAAACTTCGATCACAATATGGTACCCGTTTTATCAAACCGAAAGAAGTGATCCCCAGAGCGTTACGACCCTCTAGAAGTAGTGATAAATTTCCGAACTAACGAGGGTCGAAACTTTGAGAACTGATCGGTATGTTTTCAGGACCATCAGAAAACAATAGTCAAAGATCAACAACCATCTTATACCGAGATTTCTCTTCACATATACGAGTAACTTATTAGGGCACGATGGTCTATCCGTGAGGAGGTCTTGTCAAAGCTTTGACGGTTTTTTATTTGACTTTATAGACAAGACTTGTAACTGATGCAAGAGTTGTAGACTTACTAAAACTGGATACTCACGTGCCGGACCCGTGAAGGCAGCGTCACGGTGACGATCAACGAAACAACCAAAACAACGAAAAGTCCGCGACGAACGATTAGAAGAAAAATTTTCATTTTCAACATTTTTAAACAAATTCTCACAACCGAGTTCGAACTAGTTCGCATTCTTTTCCACGTCCCGCTGAGAAAACCTTGTGAACATGTCAACGGAAACTGTATTCTCCAAGGGTTCTTAACTTTCAAATATTCACAGATCTAGCCGGACTTTGTTACTTCTTAGTCTTAATCAACACGCGATGTATCGCTAGTCCGTCAGCTGCTTCTTAGGTAGGAGTGTTGGCCTTGGTTCTCGCATCACTTCCGCTCCAGTTAAAAACAAGGGAACATTGCGAAGCCATAACACTCCTCGAAAAGACCAATGGACTTGTCACACTGACTCGAACGCAGTCAGTGGCAAATTTATCAATGAAAGATCACAGTTTCGGTTTTTTCTTTTCACGAAAAGTTGTAAGAGTAACGTCTCTGTAAAAGGTCAGCGCATTTCAAAAAATTGGCTAATTTTTTTCAAGTTCATCGTCCGCAATCTGTCTTAATTTCCTCGCTAATTCTCGGATAATCACTGCCACGGTGTTTTTCTTTTTTTCTTTTTTTCACCTCACAAAGCGACTATCTTGAGGGATTTTTGGTTTCGATCATTGGTCTGCGGTTAAGGTTTAAAATAACCCAGCAATTAAAAATTTGTCGTTTAGGTGTTTTATAGCTATTTCTTGCTGCTAAAATTCCGCTAACTTGGTGATTGGTATGTTTCAGTGTCGCGCCATGTGTGCGATCTGAAAATGCCGTTACGTTTTGGCACTTTCCAGGGGTCAATACCCCACAATTATCTGTTGTCTCTTGAATATCAGTTTCACCCATGGGAATTAACCTCAAGAGTCAAATCAGATACACGCGAACTGCAAAGGAAATAACTTTGAGCTGCGAATGCGAAAACGTGAACAACACCAGGACAAATCCGAAGGTAAGATTTGCAAGAATTTGATCGGAGTTTGAGGGTTACTTTAAAATAAATAGGAGTTGTCAGAAAAATTAATTTGAGTTGCGAAAATGGTCCGTTTGACGACAAAGTCCTGCTTGTGCGCGCCTTACCGACTCCAAATCTCATGGAATTTGAACCTGTTCAAATTTTTATCAAAGTCCACGTCAACTCACAAGCACTTTCTTGAAGACAGTCGTTGAGAAATAAAGCTTCTTAAATGAAATGATCCATTCTCCAGACTACATTCTCACATTCTCGAATATGGCAGGACATTACATAACTTGATACCACAGGCAGGCCAAGCTCAAAACGTGTTGCAAAGTGTTGCGCTGCATCGGCAAACAAGTAAAAAAGTTGAGGAGGGTAAATCAACCATAGCAGTGATTTTTTCCGAGCGTTATCTCCTCGTCAGTGGTTCGTCAAAATATGAACGCGGCAGTGTACTTTTCGCAACGGTCGAAATTGAAGGATTTCTAGGAGTACAAAAGGTTACATTTTAGAACTTACACATATCAACGCAATTTCAATAAAAATAGATCATCTTGTCTCAATCAGTTGTTTTCCTTTATTATTTTTCTTTCCGGTACAGTTCCTGAGTGCGATTAATGACTCCTTAGGTGATTTTTTAGTTCAATGTTGTTTTACCCCTAGTTTTGCCCCATTTTTAAAGGGCAAATTGCCACAGATTACCATAAATCGAATCAGTAACATGACGGGACATAAAGAAACAGGACCTAACTAATGGAAACTAGTTTTTATAAGTCTCGTTCACCTTTTCAGATTTTAAAATAGAATTGCTTTACTCCATGCAAATCCTCACAGACTTTCGTCTCTTACGTAACATAGGCGCTCATATTTCGAGAGTGGGTACATGTGCTAACACACGAGAATCGCTACAGCAGGGAAGAACTTCTATCAGAGGAATGCTGAAATTAAACGAGGGCGCGCTAATGATTTGCTTCAAAGTAAAGAATCGGCAACAGTTAAACACGTCTGAAATGCTTCGATCATTGCGTTCCTGAGATACTGTGCTCATTTTCGTAGGAAAACCATAGACTAAACAGAAATGATTACATAAATTTACATACAGCCATAACCAAAACAAAACCATTCTAGAGCGTAGTTGACCCAAGTTGACCTAAAATGGTCTCAGTTTTGGCTGCTGTGATACGCAGCTGTAAACCTATTGATCACAAAAACTTTCTAAAAAAGATAATAGCTAAAATTGGTCACAATTACAAGAAGTGTTTCCATTTTCACTGCTCTAGTGACTCCCTTCAACACTGTCCAAAGATTTGGCCAGTAAAAACAAAAAAGCAATTTACGAGTCAGACAAGATAACGCAAGTTTAATTAAAAGCATCTCTCCAAGCGCTGGCTTTGAATCAGATTTCTAACTGTTAAAATGAAGAAAGCAGGAGTGACATAAGTAAAGAGAGCAAGATTTTTTCTTTAGCATTTTTTAACNCATTAATTACTACCAAAATAGGTAGACTCTTCTTTGGTGTGGAGTGAAGGATGTGCATAACAGTTGTCACTGGCGACAAGCGTCTTTGATTATGACCACGAGTTCTACAACTGACACCACATTGCTAAGTGCATGTAATGATATTCCTAAGCCACAGTAGCAAGCAACAGTACTGCCATGCCATTCCATAAACAGCACAACATTAGAACTTATACTTGGGATGAGGGTGGGAGAAACCTTCAAGCTAGCAAAATCACTAACATTATTGCAGAAGGAGACCTCCAATATCAAGGTAGTTTGGAGGGCAGTATTAGAAAGTTGTTGTGGCTCTGTAATGAGTTACAGGTCTGTTTGGTTAAAAACTGGGGCAAACATTCTGTGGGCCTGTCAAGTATTTTCCTTTGCATTTGACAACGTAATGCCAAGTGACCATAAGTATTTTCATTAGTTGTCAAGAGCGGCAAACAAATGTCTTGGACTGTTTGTCTTGTGCTGTTTTCAAATTGGCATTTAAACCAATAAGAGTCTTTGATGGGACTGAAATCTATGAACTTCTTATGCCCATCTTAAACTGAGACACACAACCAGACAAAACGATACACTTGTTCAAGTGATTGTGCATCGTAAGATTATATACATTAAATGCTACCTACTGGATCTGAGAAGGTATTCATTACAGGTAAAATCCATACCCTTGATAAACGTTCAAAAATGAGTAGAAACACACTGACGGCAGACATGCACGCCCATTCCTTATGTGTCCAATACTTTCTCTCAAAGCCACCAAGTTTTCGTTTTCTTTTTCTGTACTGGACTTGGCTTGCTTTGCTCCTCTTGTAGCTCTGTAACTTACGGTGGATGCTTCAGCTTCATCTGTCTCCACTTCATCACTGTTTTGCTTCTGTCCAGGTTTACTATGAGATATTTCTATGCTAAAATGTTTATTCAACAGATGAAGCAGTAAAACATGGTCGCCGCTTCTAAGATATTGTAGAAAATAAGTGAACACTTTGTTGCTAAGTTTTACAACGAATTTGCTGCGTCTAAAGTTAGAAGCAGTGTCGCTCGATTTCAAACGCTCCAATTCCGTGATTGCTTGTAAGTGCTGAATCTCCTCTTTGTGCTCGATCAAAAAGTCGCCGCTGTGTTTCGCGAAATGCGATTGAGCAGCGATCGCTTGACCTTTCACAATGAGATCCAAGTAAATGTTTGCAAACAGGGGGAACAAAAATTTCGAAAGTTCTAATCTGTAGGCCTGATTTGTTCCTGTTATGAAGGATTTTAAGTTGGAAAACTGCTCATCAAGCATGGCTGGGTCTGAGTTGTTGATCGCAAACGAGAAGACATCCGGGACGCCGCTTTCGTTGCAGACCGTGGTCTTAAAAACCATGTCCTCCATTTTCTGTTCTACCGGAAAGTCCTTCAAAGAACTCTCACTATCGGTGTACTTTCTCTGTTTTAAAAAGCTGGTGATTACATTAGATACCTGCTCGTGCATCTGATGTTTTTCATGTGCGCTCATACTTTTGATGCAAGAGTGTTCTTTGATCACTCGTTCGCTCGTCTCAATGAGTCCGCTAAGTCCGCCATATCGTCCGCCATATTGTAAGGGAAAGTAACCGCTGACCGTCGATTGAGTTTGTAGTGGCGCGCGCTCCTCGAACTCGCGCGTTTACAAGTCGACCTGGTAGAAACCATACCCCTGCCCTTCCCCTTTTTTATGAATAAATATCGCCGGAAATGTATTTTGAGCAAACCAGAGATCGACGGAGAGAAGTAAACATTGAGAACCTTTTCCTCGCTAGTTGTTATATTTTATCATTTTTAAGTGACCTCGTAGCTCAAGACAAAGTTTTTTCTCGTATTGTTTTTCAGCAACCTCTCGATAAAATCCGGTTTTTGTCACGAGAAGTAGTGATACGTGACTTGGAACCAGTCCAACATCTTGCTAAAAATAGCCTTTATTTGGAATCTTCCGGAATCCTTTCGCTCGATCGCTGCCTACAAATAGATTTCAAAAAAGTTATCGTTCAAAGCAGGCTCAAGAATGAGAGAATCATACCGTTACAGATAAGAGTGTTGAAACATATGACCTAACAGAAAAGGATATATGCAATGTTAGACATGTTATATAAACAAGAGATTAAGCGCCAAGAACGGTGCTTGTCACATGTCTCACATAAATATCCCGTTCGTGATTTCGGATGAATGCTTGTCGTCGTAAACATGTACCGAAGACTTCCGAATGTTCTCCGAATACCCGAATACCTCCACTGCGAAGGGCGCGCCTCCTCCCGCTTTCACGTCAACACAGGATCGGGTTTCTCGACGTTAGTCTGAAAGGCATAACACTGTATTGCGAAACATTTGATTAGATCCAAGCGAGAACGGAAGAAGAACAAAGTGACGCGACTTTTACTGTCTAAATTGTACAGTATTTATTGAAATATTTATTCGAAGTTCGTAGGACATAATCATTATGTAAGTATGGCATGTTTTTTACGGAAATTTGTTAAGTTTGTTTGTTGGCCAGATAATAATTGGAGTGGCCCGATACATCGGGTCATTGAGTTCCTGTAACGGAGATTGTTTAATTTCGCAGTTATTGTTTTTAAATTCGCAGTATTGATGTTTTTGCTGTAATTATCTGCGAGTTAAACCTTATTTGCCACGTCTAACACGCAGTTTTAGTTGCATGCCATGCTGTTTGGCTGGCATACAAAAGCTGAGCTTAATCTCGGCTGAATAGAAGCTTTATGTCGCGAAAAGAATAGAGCTGTTCAGCGTTGCAGCTTAGCACGTATATACATGTAGACATCTTATCCATCGACGGCTAATGCGTGTCGGGTGAAAGTAATTCGTGTAAGCCGCTAAGACTTCTGCATATGGAGGCTTCGCTTGTCGCCGATTGATGATTCTTTCAAGGAACGTCCTAATCCAGTGCTCGTTCTTTACATGATTGCTTCATTGTATGCGGGGAATGTGGCAAAATACGTTCATAAAAATATTGGGTCGAGTTAGACATCTTAGTGTTTTCTATACAGAGTGTTAAGTGTTAAATTGCAACAGCGGTTCGGTTGGTGCACAAGGCATGTTTGAACTCTGTAACTTTCACTCTTGACTGGCTTTCTGGTGGTCAACTTTCACTTCAGGTGGCTTGCAGTTCGCTTTCACTTGTTGGTTTGGAGGGAGATGATATGTTTATCTTTATTTGTTAACTCTATAAGGAACTTCCAGACTTGAGTAAAATAATAGTGACAGTGTAGACAAGTATTAAGCTTAGGCAAGTGCATATCCACAGATATGTAGCCATTGTTATTATGATCGTCAAGGCTATGAAGGAATTATGATGCATAGCTACCTTCTTGGTGAACTATGTTGGTGAATTGGAAATTCAATAACTCTGAATGCATGTAGGGATTATGTGCTGAAGCCAACCAGATTGCATTTTTACCTAATAATCAGTTAGTGAGTCAAAGACTCTAGGAGATGAAAATAGATAGTCTGCATACTAACCATGAGGCCACTGCACCTCAAAAAATAAGTAGTTGTATTAATTTTTAACATGTAACATGTGTTGTTACATCAGACATTTTCACAGCACAAATCAAAATTCCATCAAATAATTATTATTTCATTACATGTACAATCAATCTCTAAACAAGCACTCTAGCCTATATTCTGAATGTTGCATGTAAGTACCCTGAATGTCACTGATCACCAAAGATCATATTTCCTCTCAGGATGTGTAGATCTACGAGATCAGAATTTTCTAATAAATTTGTGTCAATCTCTTGCAGATTTAAAAGTTCATACAATCCAGCATGTTTTCTGTTATACCCTTGGCACGCTCAGTATATGACTCTCTGAACAAAACACTCCGAGGAAAAGATGAGGTAGCTATTGTTTGTTGAGATGTTAACTACTTAGGCGTCTGAACTTACCCAAAGTTCTCATTGCTTGGGGTATAACTAAGCCTTAACGTCAGTAGCCAATGAATTGGCTGGCTTTTCAGACGTAAAGTGTTAAATCCTTGCATGTGCCATTTGAGATACATGTAGTGAAGAGCAGTCTTGCAAGGAAGATATTTTCTTTCTTGTTCACTGTTTTTTCCATGTACATGTCTCAATTAGAACCTGAATTTTTTCCAACCCGTAAACCCAAGCCTGGCTACAGACTAGGGTGCCTGTGGCTGGTGAATTAATCACTTTGCAGCACAGACAGAAAGATATTGCCAGTATTTAGCCTAGTGAAAATTGAAAGTCCTTACCGGGAATTTGTTATGCCACCATACATTAGTATGTAATTCAAGACAATATAGGATTTCTAAAAGTGGAGGTTACTTGGTTATTGATGAGAAAAATCATTTTTTGTTTCCTTGTAGGTATTGGAGACACTAAAGGCATTTGATTTATCCAATGAAGACATAGAAGAAATCATGAATCTTCTTAGAACAGACTTTGATAAAGGTCTCTCTGCCGATGAACATGAGAGGGCGGAGAGTCCAATCAAAATGCTCCCAACGTATGTGAGGGCCATTCCTGATGGTACGGAAAGCGGAGATTTCTTAGCACTTGATCTGGGTGGTACAAACTTCAGGGTCTTATTAATTTCCATTCAGCCTGGTGGGGAGGTTAAAATGGAAAGTGACATTTACCCTCTAGATCAAGCCCTGATGACAAGCGACGCTCAAACTCTGTTTGACTACATTGCTGGCTGTATTGCGCTCTTTGTGAAGAAAAACCAGCTGAAAGACAAGTCATTGCCGCTGGGCTTCACATTCTCGTTCCCTGTGAAGCAGTTATCACTCACATCTGGCCTGCTAATTAGATGGACAAAGGGTTTCTCTGCTACTGGTGTAGAAAATGAGGATGTCATCAAACTTCTTCAGGAGGCACTTGTTAGAAATGGAGTGGTAAGCTGAGCAGTTCATTGTTTGAAAAAAGTAATTCTAACTCCTTCTACACTGTAGTCTGTTAAGACTAGTTATCTGAGAGAATAGATTTATTGGAGGGGGGGTTGTGGTGAACTAATAGTGGGACAGGTGCATGTTGTTGTTTCAGAAAATATCCATATTCCTCTGGTGGGGTATTTGTTTTGGTTTGAAACTCCATCCTTGTGAAAATTCCAATATTGGTTTATAAGTTTGTTTAGAAAAATGTGGCTTTTAAGACCACCCCCCTCTCCTATGGAATTTTCAATACCTTCTTGGGGTGGGTGTGGATATTTTCTGGAGCCACACATTAAGACTACGGATCAAGCCTTCTGGGTTTGAACCCTTGTTAGGGCTATCAGGTTCTTGTGCCAGACATTTTATTTCACAGACAGTGGCTTTGGCCACCAAGGATTGTAAATCAGTACTGGCAACTTGTCAGGGCTGGACTATATACAGTTTATGTAGCATCCATCTGATCCAGCCCCAGGAAGTAACAAAGCTCTTGGGCCGTTTCTTCTTGGGCAAGCCAAAGTTAGTTTTCAAAGACTGGCATGGCAAGTCAGCTTGGCTTAACCCAGACTTTACCTTTACTTTACATTCTGGAACTTTTGAAACTTGTCTTTCCACACAGAGTTCTACTGTAGATGTTGTTGCCCTTGTAAATGACACCACTGGTACTATGATGTCATGTGCACTTTCCAACCCTAACGTCAGTGCTGGCCTTATCTTGGGAACTGGAACAAATGCATGCTACATGGAGAGCCTTGACAATGTTCCCAAATGGGATGGTGATCAGAATGAACCACGTCAAGTGATTATCAACACTGAGTGGGGAGCATTTGGTGATAACGGCTCTTGGAATCACCTCAGGACAAAGTATGATGAGCAAGTGGACAGAGAATCAATCAACCCTGGAATGCAATTGTAAGTAATGTAATTAGGCAAAATACACAAGAAAGATGAGCAATAACCAGCACGCTCCAGCCATTCACGACATAATACCATGTACAGGATAAATTACTACCCAGTGGACCTTATCCTGTGGATAATTATCGACCAGTATTTGATGGGTAGTTTATCCATCCTTTAAATAACTTGTTTCAGGCTGGTTACACTTTCACCAATCTGTCAGCTTGCATTAACTGTTCAGTAAGACAAAGTCTCCTTTGGTTGGTCCATACCACCAAAGATTAAGTTTTTGTGGTATTAAGGGAGGTTAGGACCTCGGATTAGTCAGGCTGCGACGTCAAAACAAGAACATACACTGTAGGTCTTCTTATTTCACAAACCAAATAAACAGAAACGAAAAAAAGAATAGGTGAAATATACTGTCTAGAAATTAGACAATCAAGCGTAATTCCAATTTTGTTTCAAATTATTAAGTTTACATTAAGGAAAGATGTGTAGTTTGACATCACAACCTGATTAGTTCCAGGTCATAACCCCACAAAGTTTCTGACCCAACCTGAAGCAAAATTTCAGGTTTTAAGAAGGCTAAAATGTAGGCGAAAAAACAATGATCGATGTGCAATTATTTTTTTTGATTTCCATATCCCGATCTCATGTAGATTCCATCAAGCAAATAAAAAATGACTGTCATGTTCACTTTAAAAGCTCTAACTTACATGTACACAGAAACTACTGAAATTACTAATGAAACTACTGAAAGGTTGCAAGCAACTCAAACTCATTTTACTCCATTTTCTCCTTAGATTTGAGAAGATGATTTCTGGGATGTATCTGGGGGAACTTGCAAGACTTGTTTGCATGGACCTTGTAGCGAAGAAACTCTTGTTCAAAGGACAAGTGTCTGAAAAATTTAAGACCAAAAACAGCTTCTTTACCAAGTTTGTCTCTGATATTGAAAGGTAAGAGATACTGGGGATAAAACCTTTTCCTGTAAAGTAAATATTGATTATCATCTGATGGTGAATATTACACTCATCTGAGTGTTTCTAGTTGGTAATTCTTTATTCATGCAGGTTGCAAGCAAACCAAATTACCACACTGAGGTGAAGTATTAAAAGACTGAACAGAGGCCCTTCTTTTGTATTTTAACAGTCATGAAAGGTACAAGATTGATGAGGTCCTGAATGAAATGAAACTGAATGCTTCAGAGTCAGATATTGAGATTCTGCAACAAGTTTGTGCTGCAGTATCCAAACGTGCTGCCAGATTGGCTGCTGGAGGGCTTGCAACAATCGTCAAGGTATTTATTTGATTTACGATTACGGTTCATAACAGGTGACGTAGAGCAAGTCCCAAAGGGCTGAGCCAACCTAGGGGGGTACTGAGGCATGCTTCCCCAGAAAATTTTGAAATTGTAGGTTGCCAAAGATGCAAATCCATGCATTTTGGGTGCAAAGTGTTGATGAACTTATAAATGAAAAATGAGTTATGAGCATAAAATTAGATGTAGCACATGTTTTCTGAATCATTAAAACATATAAAGTCATATAAATATATGAATTCTGCTGGCTGCTGGCTTCTACTGAGAACCCTGAGTCCATGCAAACTTGGCAGTAAGAATGTGTAGTGAATGTACTTAAAATTATAGCAATGCAGCTCTAGTCCTGTTGTTAATCTATTCCACTATTTATTAAACCAACATTTACTATTAGCCTTCAGCCAATCCCCAACAATATTAATCATTGAATTATTTGTTATGCATTGATATGTATTTATATCCTGAGCATAATTTTATGTTATTAAATTACCAATTGAAAATTAACATTATTTATTTCATTTCCAGAAAACAAATCGCCACACCACAACCATCGCCGTAGATGGTAGCCTCTTCAAGAAGCACCCACGGTTCAAACATTACATGGAGGAGACCCTCCATGAGATTTTGCCGCAGGCCAACATCACTCTTATGTTATCTGAAGATGGCTCAGGCAAAGGAGCAGCCCTAATTGCAGCAGTTGCATCAAAAACAAACAAAGCATGAACTATTTGTTCATAATCAATGCTTCCAATAAGATCTGGCACCCATTAGAGGTCCAATGGATTTTCTTTTGTGAATCTCTGGGTCTAATGTTAGTGGTTTTCAAAAATTTGTCCTGGCGAGGAAGTTGTTTAGGCCCTCCCTTATTACTTTGTGACAGCCTCTGCACAAAGCAACCTTATACTTCAAATCTTATCGAAAGCACTGATTAGTATTAATTTAACACCAAGTAATTGTGATTAGAATTAAAGGCACTCTAGTGTGGGCTTTGTGATGCAATGGTCTTGCAGGGTGGAAAAAAGTGGCAAGTTTTCGTCACTTATTGGTTACATGTACTTCTGTTATAAGAAGGGAAAGGTACCAGTCATTATAGACTGTTTAGGTCACAAGAATTTACGGATGGAGATACTGTGATCTTTGGATATACTTTAAGCTTTAGTTAGTAGATCGATTGATTCGTAGTTCACAGACTTGTATAACAAACTTGTGTCGAATCTTTAACATTGAAACAATGCCTCATGCATCTCACTACATTTCTACTTTAAAGCAGCACAAAATATTAGGTAGCAATGAATGTTTCAATCATGCTATGATGAAAATGACATATTGTTGTAAATAATGAGATCCATATAATGTCTACCTTGATCCAAACTGCATGCAGAATTGTGGCTTTTTAGGCTATTGTTAGTATGATGAGAGAATAAAGATGGCGAATTTCCGCCTTTCACATTGTTCAGTATCTTTGAAAGGTTCTAGATATTTTCAAATGTGTAAGATGGTCACTTTTCTTTTCCTACCAGCTGGTAATCCCAAATTATAGTTGTAAACGATGACAAGAAGATAAAACGACATTCCTTCACCATACTTAGTCCTTTTCCTACTTGAGAGTTATGATGCTTGTATGCATGTGAATGAAAATCAAATGTGGTGATAAAAATGAATTAAACTCATCTTGTGTTTGTATTTTGATATATTTGTACTTAGTTTTCTATGCTAGTAAAGTTGAAAAAATCCACGTACTACACCATCAGCCAGCCCTCTACAACAACCAGGGATTTTTGTCACAGCCATTCACCAATCCAAAGCTTTTACTCTTATCAAAATCTCCCTGCAATTTCTGCCTTTCTAAAGTGGCCAGTTAATTGCCCCAGGGCAGCCAGTATACAATGCAGAATAAAACGATATGAAATTATTGAGTATTTTCTTTGTGATCTCATAACTCAAACATAAATGGTGTGCATGTCAGCCTTTGTTTCTAGCATGTGATTTTTCTGCAGTCTATCCCTAATTTCAGGGAAAAACAACAATAACAACAAAAAAAACACTTACAATAAAATTAATGTTGAATTTTGGATCGTGAATTTCAACAGATGCATGTTTCTGAAATCCTCATTGCAACCTGGAAAAGCTCATCTGTTTGGGAATGCATGCCTCACAGAAAAGACCAAATTAGGAATGAACATGAAAATTATTGGCAAAATAATATTAAAAGTTCCTAGCCCCACTTATTCAAAAGGTGGTCAGCTCTCTCAATCAGACATATCACTGGATCATGCAGTTTGTTTTGTCAAGAATTATCCACTGGATCTAGACTTATCTGTTGGATAGCATTTACCACCCTTCGAACAACTAAGCCCAGTGTTGTACATTTGATGCAGACTTATCAATAAAAACTGCGGCTTGAACAGATTTCTTAACCTCTTGCAAAATTCTGCCCCCTCCCTACCCTAAAGGATATTTTCCACCCAAATATAATGACTGCCAACTCTAGACAGAACATTCTTTGTAAAGCCATGTTATCAGGATGGACTTGTCTTTATTGGGTCACATCAGTCAGATGTTTCATCCATTATAAGGCTTGCATACAAGAAAAGGAAGCCTATTTGCTTGGGCTTTGAAAATAGTGATAAAATGACTTGATCTAGAGCAACAACACCAGCTGAAAACAAGCAATTTATTGTTATTAAATTATTATTTCAGGGACGTCTTGCACCATGACAACATGAAGTTGTGTTATACATGTTTCATGCTTCACATCTAGCTGACGCATTCCTATGTTCTCACTACCTATCTGCTATTTTACTTTACCTACCTAAGAGAATATTAACTTTAAGCAGTCTTATGGATTCTGATTTTTAATTATAATAAATAAAATATTCTATAATTATGTTAAAACTTTAATATGATTTACAGTCGAACCCCTATTGAGCAGCCACCTTTTAAACTGCCACCCCTATAAGACAGTTAGTAATCAAAGTCCCGATGAGGGCTTTTATATATATTTTTTACCTCTATCCTGCCCCTTTAAGTGGCCGCTATCCATTTTGCAGAGGGTGGCTGTTAATAGGGGTTGAACTGTAATTAGCTTTTAGCCCCCAAATATCGGAAGCCGCTTCTTCAAAATGTAAAGAACAGTGGAAAAGAATAAGACAAGTCCAAAGAAGATCAAAAGTCTATCTGTAACTTCCCGTCTGTTATATTTGTTTAAGAGGTTCTTGCTGGTTTGAATTACTCCCGATAATCCCTTGTATTCTTCTTGTGTGTCTTTAACCTGTGCAGATGATGAGGCTGAGAGAAGAGAAAAGGCAACGAGAAAACGTTAAAACCAAAGATGTTTAGGATGGCTGGCCACAATTTTTTTGGAGTTGCACATGGCAAGTTTCTAAGTTTAACCAATCAATAAACTGACACCACCACATGAAAGATCACATTGAGATTGGTTATTTGACCAAGTTGAATGCTTTTTAGGTGGACGGACACCAAGTTATGGACCTTGAAACATCGTTCAACTTCCATATTTTTCAATGTCTCCAATTTTGAAACAACGTCCCCCAAAACAATGTAAATTCTAAACTTTTTTTATCAGCAGTTCTGTGGCAACTGTAAAATCCTGTCATGCACCTACCATTTGTAACAAGCTGACATGAAAATCACCATTAACAGAAATCATAAAAATTTTTATGAGTTTAATATATTCTTTGGGGGAACACTGCATTAAAATTAGAGATGTTACAAGTATTGATTTTGAGCCATGTTTCACCTTCGATAACTTGGTCTCTGCTCAACCTGAAAACATCAAACTTAGTCAAATGACCAATTTCAATGTGACCTTTCATTTGTGCAACACATATCAGTTTATTGATTGGTTAAAATTTGAAACTAACCACAGTTCTCTATACAACACCAAAATGGCCGATAGTTTAGTCTGAGGTTTCTATCATTGGTATGTGATGTCCATTGGCATGTGATCCCATCCTAAGTCTTATACACATTTAGGGGGGACTAATTACGACAAATATTGTTCATTTCTGGACGCACCTAATATCTGCATATCAGCTTCACTCTGTTTGACTTGACCCTCCATCATTCTTGCAATACTCATTAAATCTTGAGTTATGTTACTTGCAGTCTTTGCCAAATTCTCTTTGTTGAAGGTCCTAAAAAGTAATGAAGAATTTTTTTTCACTTTTTGTGGGGTCTTATTTTGAGTAAAAGATTTTGGGTTTCTTTGGGAGGGGGATGGGTGTTAAAAAGTGTGATCCTGTGCATAGCAGATTTATTCATGAGGGAAAACTACACCCAAATGATATGAGTCAAACTTCTTGCTATGAGTGGTTTATCTATTAAGATCAGTATGTACTAGAACAACTTAATTATATGACTGTAAGGGATAGAAACACTAATATTATTGCAGGTTCTAACACACCTGTTTCGTACATTGGAGGCTTGTCCTCCCAATAATTCTTCCTTTTCACTTTTGTCAATAATAGCCTTTGAAGCTAAATTAGCTTTCCTGATCGATGCCTGGAGGCTAAAACATAAAAATATTAAACTTTTTGTAAGGCCTAGATGATGTGAACAAATGGTTAATTTACTGTGTTATTACACTACCAGAATTAACACAAGTGTAAAGGCTATGCAAAGTGCTATTTGGAAACTATCAATGGAAATTATTCTCACAAGCTGATCACTTTTGCATCTCTGAAACTCATTTTTTTAACGAGTTAAGATTAAAATAATTAAGATTTTCCCTGTGTTAACTTGGTGAATTATTTTATTAACCATAACAAGGGGTTTGTACAGGTGATCTTAATTACCATTACCTGCTTTTATTAGACTAGCTTACTTCTTTACATCTAGGGTTTATTTTAGTTTGCAAATATGTGAAACACTTACTACGTCAGATTTCATTAAATTTCCAAACACCTTGCAGGGATGGATCCAGGATTTTTCTTAGGAGGAGGTGCACCAATAAGGAATGGCATAACTGACTGGTGAGGTAACGAATACGAAGAGGAAGGCTTCATCTTGGGAGGGGGGGGGGGGGGTGCACACCCCTGCACCTCCCTCTAGATCCATCCCTGCCTTGGAGTTCATCAAAAATGCAAACCCCACTGCATGTTTTATTTTTATTTTTATTTTTCTTGGTGTCTGAAAACATGGTGAAAAACTGTCTCTTGTGCTTGACACTTGTTTTATTTTTTCACACATCAACAGAAAAGTGTGTGAAAAACCTTGATCTTATAAACTGGACCAGCCTGGTTGACAGGCTCATAGTGACAAATGCTGCTTTCGATCAGGTTTATAGCCATTTATTCCTGGGATTTCTGCCAAAAATGACCGTTCAAAAATAACCCTCTGCACATCTATATCTGGCTATTTCTCCAAGGGAATGAGGCCAAATGGCCCAACCCTTTATTTCAAGATGATATCTAGATAGATCTAACTTTTCCCTTTCCCTTTGAGGTCAGAAACTTAGTTTTCCACTTGGGCATGCACAAAAAGCAAACTTTGGCTTCTCTTTTTTTTTCTTTTTCCGTTTTCTTTTTATTTCATTTGTGGTTTTATTAACCTTTCAGTTGCCTTTGCTTCCACCATGTCCACTGGAAATGTTCTCCCTGAAATGTCAAGGAAAGCAGTCATTTCTAACAAAACGTCACTCCATATAAGAAAGGTTGAGTGTTTATTCAATTTCCAAAGAAGAAATTTGCAGTTTTTGTTAATATTTTTTTCCCCAGAACTTTTCTTAATGTTTTACTGAGCCACAGGTCACCCAAGCTCAGCTTGGGCTACCTATAAAAGCTACGCCTAAACTAATTTGTTTAATCCACCAATTAAGGTCAAGCCTCTGTACCAATAAACTGTACCTTGACAACTCTTTTCTATGATGTTGCATGGCTGCTAATATAGCTAGTCTGTCAGATTCTTTGTCTTGCTCAAAAGCCACTTGCTCCAAACCCTAAACAGATGTGTACATGCAGACATGCACATGATACAAGTAAATATTAAAGAGATGCCAAACTAAAAAGTTGAAATCTGAGAGGTTGCTGATTTTGCCTCTTCTCAACTCCGAAAAATGCATGCCAGAGTATCAAATGTCCTCAAACATTGGCCTAAATGGGAGGGAACCCAAGTTTACAGGCCCCATGGTTTTTATTAGGTTCCCTCACCATTTTTTCTCTATATTTTTCCTTGCATACTAATAATTGTAATTATCTGGGAACTTGAAAAGTCATGAAGGTCAAGTCTGAAGGAATTCCTAAATCAAACAAACGGTTGAGGTCACTGACATAAAAGTGACTTCACAGGGCTTCTCCACATACCCTAAATCCTCGAGTTAGCACCCGGGGCTTGAATGGATCCATAATCACTTGCTTGTAATTAAACATGACCAAAACTATACATCCTTTGTTGCCTCAGTACTTTTCCATAAAACAAGGGGAGGGAAGGGGGTGCTTATTCGAAGGGAGGCACTTATTTTAAATTTTGGCTGGTAGGAGGGGCACTTATTCGAAGGGGGCACTTATTTGAGGGGAGGTGCTAATTCGAGGATTTACAGTAACCATTACATTTATATTTTATTTTTTAGTATTTTTGTTTTCAATTGATGAGCATTAGATCAATTATACATAATTATAACTTGAAGTCAATATAATTAAAAACAGAGGGATCCGCTGTTAGTGGCTTCACGGATGAGGTCCAATCAGTCACTAAAATGGAGAGAAATAAAAACTGTGGTACTCAAAGAGATATTGCCTGCTTCCGTGTGCTCTGATGTTTGTTTACACATTTGGCTCCATTTTGGTTTAGACGACACAGGACACATCACAATAGAACACCACGTCACAAACCTATCGTTTTCGTTATATTCCTCATTCTTTTGTCCTTTTGTTCTTTATTGTTTTACGTCAACTGTGTCTTCTACACCAAGTAAGGGCCCAAAATATAAATTCAAATGGTAGAAAGTTCACGTGTAGTTTGCAAATCAGGATTAAATAAATGCTAAGTTTATCCCTGGTTTATCAATAATAGCTTAATTAATTTCATGTAGTTTTCATGTGCTTACCTCGACTTTCTGTCGCAAAGAATGCAACTTTTGTTTAACCTTCAGATTCAAGTCATTGAGTAAATTAAGTGGCCCCTCGCATTGACGTATGCTTTGCACATTATTTTGGATCTCAAACTCAATTTTGACGATTTCTTGAACAAGAATTTTCACTTGAACGGGAACTTCGATCCCGTCCGCCATTTTGAGATATTATGACGACAAAGCGTTCTGGGTAAAAAGAATTCCACCTTGCATGGGTAAGGTCAGGATTTTTAAAAATTAGCATTCTAGCATCGAGATCATTTTTTCCCTCTTTCAGTTTCGTTGCTCGCGTCTGTTGGGTAAAGAAATTCGATATTTCGCGTAGTTTTCTTTCTTTTTTAGCTGTTACAAGTCTTCTCAGAACTTCCTCTTCTTCGCGTTAGCCCGAGAGGCTTACGGAAGTCGTCGGTGCTGTTCGTCGACTTGCAAAAATAGTCGGTAAATGTTCGGCGACCGCCAATTTTGAGCCATGTGTACCGCGGGAGCCAATCAGAATGTTTCAACCGTTGTTCCATCCGGCAACGCTTCGAAGTTAGTCGCTGCACGCCGCGAGTGATTTACTGCTTTTAACTTAATTTTGCCGCGTGGATTTCGACTCTGTCATCTTCTTGGATGGCAGCAGTAGAAACCAGAGGTGATAGTGGCGCCTCTGAACCTTCAGAGAGCCCCAGTTCGAAAGATTGCAAAGCTTCGTCGAGTCCAACTCAAAGTGCTTCGTGGCTAGTCGGTGATGTAGTTTGGTCAAAAATCCCGGGCCATCCATGGTGGCCTTCCATGGTTTCATACGACCCCAACACGGCTGTTTCCTTCAAGTACAAAGGAAGGGCAAGATATTATCACGTGCAGTTTTTCGGCCAGGATCCCTTTAGGGGCTGGGTGTCCGAGAGATCGATTCTGAAATTTGAAGGTAGGAGATTTAAGTGAATGCATTTACTGAGAAATTGACGAGGTCGGGCGATAAATCTAGCGTAAATCTTGCAAGGTTTTATCAATAATTGTGGGATTAATCTTAACACACTCCTGCTAGGTGTGATAATTAAACATATCGTTTTCTTCGTCGCCTGAAATAACGGCGGTGAATAATCGCTTGGCGATTTTAAGTTCAAAACCATTCTAAACCCCGCCATGTTTGTCCACATTTCATTCAAAACAAGTTGTTCAGTCACTTTCAAGAGAAATGGATTATAAAACTTTGTAACAATATTTGGGTTCTGCTTGAACTGGATTTTTAATCGGGAACTTTTTGCGGGGTCAAAACCGAAGTTTTTAGGCTACGGGGAATTGTTTTCGAATTGTAACTCGTCTATGTAAATATCCAAGTGGCTGGGTGTACTTGAGCTTCATAGTTTACAATATGTTTTGGCGCTTCGCCATGTATAGGTTAGATCGGTCGCTCAGCGCATGATCGAAAACAATGACAGCTGTTTTAGAAAGAAACTGTGAATTTTACCAAGAAGCAGTTATTGGTAGTGTTGCTATCTGCCCCTAATCCAATCTGTTTGTCTACTAAATGTGTCACATTTTCTTTTTCATAGAGAGGCCACATTTTCCAAAAAGTAACTCATTTATGAAAATAATTATCCATCCTTGCAGTAAGAGATTTTCATCTTTTCATGTCATAAAAATTTGCCAAGGGATCAGCTGGCCAAGATACATTGTATTATGCCCAATTATGATTTTCTGTCAATAAGTTACTTTTTTATTTGAAATCTGAAATCATCTGGCTTTTCATTTGATTTTCTTTTAAATGACTTTTCTTGACTTAAAGATAATGCCTCAGGCTCAAAATATTTTTAACATCATCTGGTTGTTTAGTTTAATGGCTGCCTTGCCATTTTCAAAAAAAAAAAAAAAGAATTATCATTCTGAGAATTAAATAATCTTTTGCTGTTCAAAATGTCAATATTTGGCATAAAACCTTCAGAAGCAGCATATGAAATTAATGGTTTCTGCCAGACATCTCTAGCGTAGCTAAACCCTACTTGCAGATCTCTAGATATCTATTAATTATTTATATACTACTGGTAATGCAAGTTTCAAATGAGAAGCATAAACTTTATGACTCCCATAGATCTATTGTTTATGATATAAGACTATATTTTTTTTAAAAATTCAATTACAATTTCATGGAGATGCTTCATGAAGGCTGACAATATTTGCTGTAAGTTATGCAACAACTGCTTCGTCTGTCTTGTTTTTGACACCGGAGTAAATTAAAACTGAAATAGGCTAAAGGCTTTATCTGATTCTCTAAACCCTTTTGCTTTATTGGCATTCAAAACAGCTTAACTGACAAATAAGAAACTCTAAATCTTTAATTTAAAATATTGTTCTCCAAGATTATGATATTGTGCTGCTAGATTGAAAATAAGATTTGGTTATCATGTTTTTCTTTATAAAAGAGTCACATTTAGGGTGCATTTGATAGGAGTGTGTGTTTATTTTGACATTCTTAATACTCATTAGAAATAAACTTTAGCATCTCTTTCAAAATTCAAAATTAGGTTTGAGAATTTGGCTATCTTGATTTCTGTTGTTGACTACAATATCCCTGTGGTATATTTTTCTTAGTTTTTTGTAGAGAGATATTTAACTGGAGTCTTTAAACCTTACAGGTTTGATCTTAGACAAGACTGCTTTGGTATAAGTTTTGAGAAAATATTTTGGAATTTCATTAGTTATGTCTTTTCCTTAGGTCGACAACATTTTGAGAATTCTCTCCATGGAAAGCAACTCAAGATTGCTCAAAAGCATGTTGCACCTTGGGAAACTGCAGTGAAAGTAGCAGAAAAAGCAAAGCCTATGAACCGGCATGAACGCCAGTTGTGCTACACCTTTAAGTACTATGACAAAAATGAAGGGAAACGTCTTCCCCCCTTGAAAATGAAAAAGTTAAATGGCTTCACTTCGTTACCAGAGCAAGTGAACGGCATGGTTGATGAACATGCAAATGAAATGTCCGATCTCGGTAAAAGAGAAACTCCGATTCCGGAACTCAAGGACTTGAATGGAGACGCACATTGTCCTAATGGATTTAAGGACAACCCAAAGAAAGTTGCTAAGGAGAAGGTGCAGCGTAAAAGAAAACTGACTGCTGTAGTGGTAGCTTCAAAATCTGTTTCAAATGATGTTGAAACTCTGAAAAGTGTTGAGCCCCCAAAGAAAAGGAAGAAAAGGACTTCCAAGCAAAATAATGAATTGGATTCTTCCATTTGCTCGGATGTTGCCACTGACAAAATAGACATATCAATCAGGCTTAAGTTGCATGAAAAGTGTAATGGCTTGTACAATGGAAGTGTTAGTCCTCCTAGAATAAATGGAGAGGTTTCCTCTTTTGGAGCAAGCATGGAGGTATCACCAAACACTGCTCTNTCTCTCTACCCAGGTGTATAAATGGATACCGGCAAATTTAATGCTGGGGGTAACCCTGCGATGGACTAGCATCCCATCGGGGGGGGGGGGGGGGGGGGGGGTGCACACCCCTGCACCTCCCTCTAGATCCATCCCTGCCTTGGAGTTCATCAAAAATGCAAACCCCACTGCATGTTTTATTTTTATTTTTATTTTTCTTGGTGTCTGAAAACATGGTGAAAAACTGTCTCTTGTGCTTGACACTTGTTTTATTTTTTCACACATCAACAGAAAAGTGTGTGAAAAACCTTGATCTTATAAACTGGACCAGCCTGGTTGACAGGCTCATAGTGACAAATGCTGCTTTCGATCAGGTTTATAGCCATTTATTCCTGGGATTTCTGCCAAAAATGACCGTTCAAAAATAACCCTCTGCACATCTATATCTGGCTATTTCTCCAAGGGAATGAGGCCAAATGGCCCAACCCTTTATTTCAAGATGATATCTAGATAGATCTAACTTTTCCCTTTCCCTTTGAGGTCAGAAACTTAGTTTTCCACTTGGGCATGCACAAAAAGCAAACTTTGGCTTCTCTTTTTTTTTCTTTTTCCGTTTTCTTTTTATTTCATTTGTGGTTTTATTAACCTTTCAGTTGCCTTTGCTTCCACCATGTCCACTGGAAATGTTCTCCCTGAAATGTCAAGGAAAGCAGTCATTTCTAACAAAACGTCACTCCATATAAGAAAGGTTGAGTGTTTATTCAATTTCCAAAGAAGAAATTTGCAGTTTTTGTTAATATTTTTTTCCCCAGAACTTTTCTTAATGTTTTACTGAGCCACAGGTCACCCAAGCTCAGCTTGGGCTACCTATAAAAGCTACGCCTAAACTAATTTGTTTAATCCACCAATTAAGGTCAAGCCTCTGTACCAATAAACTGTACCTTGACAACTCTTTTCTATGATGTTGCATGGCTGCTAATATAGCTAGTCTGTCAGATTCTTTGTCTTGCTCAAAAGCCACTTGCTCCAAACCCTAAACAGATGTGTACATGCAGACATGCACATGATACAAGTAAATATTAAAGAGATGCCAAACTAAAAAGTTGAAATCTGAGAGGTTGCTGATTTTGCCTCTTCTCAACTCCGAAAAATGCATGCCAGAGTATCAAATGTCCTCAAACATTGGCCTAAATGGGAGGGAACCCAAGTTTACAGGCCCCATGGTTTTTATTAGGTTCCCTCACCATTTTTTCTCTATATTTTTCCTTGCATACTAATAATTGTAATTATCTGGGAACTTGAAAAGTCATGAAGGTCAAGTCTGAAGGAATTCCTAAATCAAACAAACGGTTGAGGTCACTGACATAAAAGTGACTTCACAGGGCTTCTCCACATACCCTAAATCCTCGAGTTAGCACCCGGGGCTTGAATGGATCCATAATCACTTGCTTGTAATTAAACATGACCAAAACTATACATCCTTTGTTGCCTCAGTACTTTTCCATAAAACAAGGGGAGGGAAGGGGGTGCTTATTCGAAGGGAGGCACTTATTTTAAATTTTGGCTGGTAGGAGGGGCACTTATTCGAAGGGGGCACTTATTTGAGGGGAGGTGCTAATTCGAGGATTTACAGTAACCATTACATTTATATTTTATTTTTTAGTATTTTTGTTTTCAATTGATGAGCATTAGATCAATTATACATAATTATAACTTGAAGTCAATATAATTAAAAACAGAGGGATCCGCTGTTAGTGGCTTCACGGATGAGGTCCAATCAGTCACTAAAATGGAGAGAAATAAAAACTGTGGTACTCAAAGAGATATTGCCTGCTTCCGTGTGCTCTGATGTTTGTTTACACATTTGGCTCCATTTTGGTTTAGACGACACAGGACACATCACAATAGAACACCACGTCACAAACCTATCGTTTTCGTTATATTCCTCATTCTTTTGTCCTTTTGTTCTTTATTGTTTTACGTCAACTGTGTCTTCTACACCAAGTAAGGGCCCAAAATATAAATTCAAATGGTAGAAAGTTCACGTGTAGTTTGCAAATCAGGATTAAATAAATGCTAAGTTTATCCCTGGTTTATCAATAATAGCTTAATTAATTTCATGTAGTTTTCATGTGCTTACCTCGACTTTCTGTCGCAAAGAATGCAACTTTTGTTTAACCTTCAGATTCAAGTCATTGAGTAAATTAAGTGGCCCCTCGCATTGACGTATGCTTTGCACATTATTTTGGATCTCAAACTCAATTTTGACGATTTCTTGAACAAGAATTTTCACTTGAACGGGAACTTCGATCCCGTCCGCCATTTTGAGATATTATGACGACAAAGCGTTCTGGGTAAAAAGAATTCCACCTTGCATGGGTAAGGTCAGGATTTTTAAAAATTAGCATTCTAGCATCGAGATCATTTTTTCCCTCTTTCAGTTTCGTTGCTCGCGTCTGTTGGGTAAAGAAATTCGATATTTCGCGTAGTTTTCTTTCTTTTTTAGCTGTTACAAGTCTTCTCAGAACTTCCTCTTCTTCGCGTTAGCCCGAGAGGCTTACGGAAGTCGTCGGTGCTGTTCGTCGACTTGCAAAAATAGTCGGTAAATGTTCGGCGACCGCCAATTTTGAGCCATGTGTACCGCGGGAGCCAATCAGAATGTTTCAACCGTTGTTCCATCCGGCAACGCTTCGAAGTTAGTCGCTGCACGCCGCGAGTGATTTACTGCTTTTAACTTAATTTTGCCGCGTGGATTTCGACTCTGTCATCTTCTTGGATGGCAGCAGTAGAAACCAGAGGTGATAGTGGCGCCTCTGAACCTTCAGAGAGCCCCAGTTCGAAAGATTGCAAAGCTTCGTCGAGTCCAACTCAAAGTGCTTCGTGGCTAGTCGGTGATGTAGTTTGGTCAAAAATCCCGGGCCATCCATGGTGGCCTTCCATGGTTTCATACGACCCCAACACGGCTGTTTCCTTCAAGTACAAAGGAAGGGCAAGATATTATCACGTGCAGTTTTTCGGCCAGGATCCCTTTAGGGGCTGGGTGTCCGAGAGATCGATTCTGAAATTTGAAGGTAGGAGATTTAAGTGAATGCATTTACTGAGAAATTGACGAGGTCGGGCGATAAATCTAGCGTAAATCTTGCAAGGTTTTATCAATAATTGTGGGATTAATCTTAACACACTCCTGCTAGGTGTGATAATTAAACATATCGTTTTCTTCGTCGCCTGAAATAACGGCGGTGAATAATCGCTTGGCGATTTTAAGTTCAAAACCATTCTAAACCCCGCCATGTTTGTCCACATTTCATTCAAAACAAGTTGTTCAGTCACTTTCAAGAGAAATGGATTATAAAACTTTGTAACAATATTTGGGTTCTGCTTGAACTGGATTTTTAATCGGGAACTTTTTGCGGGGTCAAAACCGAAGTTTTTAGGCTACGGGGAATTGTTTTCGAATTGTAACTCGTCTATGTAAATATCCAAGTGGCTGGGTGTACTTGAGCTTCATAGTTTACAATATGTTTTGGCGCTTCGCCATGTATAGGTTAGATCGGTCGCTCAGCGCATGATCGAAAACAATGACAGCTGTTTTAGAAAGAAACTGTGAATTTTACCAAGAAGCAGTTATTGGTAGTGTTGCTATCTGCCCCTAATCCAATCTGTTTGTCTACTAAATGTGTCACATTTTCTTTTTCATAGAGAGGCCACATTTTCCAAAAAGTAACTCATTTATGAAAATAATTATCCATCCTTGCAGTAAGAGATTTTCATCTTTTCATGTCATAAAAATTTGCCAAGGGATCAGCTGGCCAAGATACATTGTATTATGCCCAATTATGATTTTCTGTCAATAAGTTACTTTTTTATTTGAAATCTGAAATCATCTGGCTTTTCATTTGATTTTCTTTTAAATGACTTTTCTTGACTTAAAGATAATGCCTCAGGCTCAAAATATTTTTAACATCATCTGGTTGTTTAGTTTAATGGCTGCCTTGCCATTTTCAAAAAAAAAAAAAAAGAATTATCATTCTGAGAATTAAATAATCTTTTGCTGTTCAAAATGTCAATATTTGGCATAAAACCTTCAGAAGCAGCATATGAAATTAATGGTTTCTGCCAGACATCTCTAGCGTAGCTAAACCCTACTTGCAGATCTCTAGATATCTATTAATTATTTATATACTACTGGTAATGCAAGTTTCAAATGAGAAGCATAAACTTTATGACTCCCATAGATCTATTGTTTATGATATAAGACTATATTTTTTTTAAAAATTCAATTACAATTTCATGGAGATGCTTCATGAAGGCTGACAATATTTGCTGTAAGTTATGCAACAACTGCTTCGTCTGTCTTGTTTTTGACACCGGAGTAAATTAAAACTGAAATAGGCTAAAGGCTTTATCTGATTCTCTAAACCCTTTTGCTTTATTGGCATTCAAAACAGCTTAACTGACAAATAAGAAACTCTAAATCTTTAATTTAAAATATTGTTCTCCAAGATTATGATATTGTGCTGCTAGATTGAAAATAAGATTTGGTTATCATGTTTTTCTTTATAAAAGAGTCACATTTAGGGTGCATTTGATAGGAGTGTGTGTTTATTTTGACATTCTTAATACTCATTAGAAATAAACTTTAGCATCTCTTTCAAAATTCAAAATTAGGTTTGAGAATTTGGCTATCTTGATTTCTGTTGTTGACTACAATATCCCTGTGGTATATTTTTCTTAGTTTTTTGTAGAGAGATATTTAACTGGAGTCTTTAAACCTTACAGGTTTGATCTTAGACAAGACTGCTTTGGTATAAGTTTTGAGAAAATATTTTGGAATTTCATTAGTTATGTCTTTTCCTTAGGTCGACAACATTTTGAGAATTCTCTCCATGGAAAGCAACTCAAGATTGCTCAAAAGCATGTTGCACCTTGGGAAACTGCAGTGAAAGTAGCAGAAAAAGCAAAGCCTATGAACCGGCATGAACGCCAGTTGTGCTACACCTTTAAGTACTATGACAAAAATGAAGGGAAACGTCTTCCCCCCTTGAAAATGAAAAAGTTAAATGGCTTCACTTCGTTACCAGAGCAAGTGAACGGCATGGTTGATGAACATGCAAATGAAATGTCCGATCTCGGTAAAAGAGAAACTCCGATTCCGGAACTCAAGGACTTGAATGGAGACGCACATTGTCCTAATGGATTTAAGGACAACCCAAAGAAAGTTGCTAAGGAGAAGGTGCAGCGTAAAAGAAAACTGACTGCTGTAGTGGTAGCTTCAAAATCTGTTTCAAATGATGTTGAAACTCTGAAAAGTGTTGAGCCCCCAAAGAAAAGGAAGAAAAGGACTTCCAAGCAAAATAATGAATTGGATTCTTCCATTTGCTCGGATGTTGCCACTGACAAAATAGACATATCAATCAGGCTTAAGTTGCATGAAAAGTGTAATGGCTTGTACAATGGAAGTGTTAGTCCTCCTAGAATAAATGGAGAGGTTTCCTCTTTTGGAGCAAGCATGGAGGTATCACCAAACACTGCTCTAAAACTGAAAATCAGAAAGATAACACCTAAACAGAACCAACCAGAAGGAAAGCGTAAGAGAGGGCGGCCTCGAAATCCACAATTTGTCATTGTTAGTGAAGATCAAAAGGAAATGTCAAGTCATTCCCCTCTGCCAGTTAATGAAAAAAGTGGGAAAAATCCAGGCAGTGGAAAGGAATTGCCCACGCTATCAGAGGAAACTGGTAAGGACAAGACTCAAAACAAAAAGAAACGAGTCCGAAAACCCACCAGAAAGGCTCTGAGTGCTAAAGAAGTGGCAGTGTTGCCTACTAACGAAGTACCAGTGTTAGAGGAAAAAGAAAAAAAGGTTGAAGCTAAAAGTAAAAAGGTTGAAGAAAAAAAGAAAGAAATGCCTGAGCCAAATACTTCACTTGAAAGAGAAGATAGTCTGGCAGGTAGTGTGGAATCGTCAAGCGCAGGGGATGAGACAGGAAGCGTAAAGAATGGTGCAACCGCTAAAAGGGATAAAGAAGCTGTTTGTATTGTCTGCGAACAACAGGAAAGTCTAATATTTTGCGAGGGCATCTGTGGCAATGCGTTTCATTTGGATTGTATAGGGCTGTCAGTTGTACCGAAGGGAAAGTTTGTCTGTGATGAGTGTGTGACTGGAAATCACTGCTGCTTCGTGTGTAGACAGACAGGAAATGTCAAACAGTGTTCACAGCCACTGTGTACAAAACACTACCATGAGGAATGTTTGAGACCATTTAAAACTGCAAAGTTTGATGGTGATCGCTTTTTTTGCCCACTCCACTTTTGCAGCACTTGTGTTACAAACAAGTCTTCGGTGTCGAGGGGACGAATGATTCGTTGTGTACGCTGCCCAATGGCATACCATCTTTCTGGCTGTCTTGTTGCAGGTTGTATTCCAATTAGTTCTCATTTTATGGTGTGTGCAAAGCACTTCTTACGTGAGAAAAATAAGGCACACCACACCCATGTCAACGTGAATTGGTGTTTTGTTTGCTCCATTGGAGGCACGCTGATTTGTTGTGAGAGTTGTCCTGCTGCATTCCATCCCGAGTGCATTAGCTATGAGGGAATTCCTGAAGGGCATTTCTTTTGCAAAGATTGTACAGAAAACAAACAGCTTCTTTATGGAGATATTGTTTGGGTCAAGCTTGGAATGTACAGGTAACAAGGACAGCAAAAAAATCTACAAGAATGATTTGCTTGTTTGTTTTTTCTATCCTAAGCAATATAATGTAAAATTTGTTAGATAGCAGTTCTCCACAAAGAAGTAACAACGGGAAATTTGAAATGCTGTTATCTAATCAATTTGGCACAACATAACTATTTCTACACATCAAGTTCACCGGTACCCATTTATACACCTGGGTGGAGAGAGGCACTTAAGGATTTTTTTTAATTTTGAGCCTTGTTTAGGAAACTGAACTCAACCTTCCAGCCCAAAACTTTTGTGAAAGGCCTTACTCCTCTTTAGTTGTGGCACTTGAAATTCCTCAATTTCCTTAATGTTGATCTGTCTATGTAGGTGGTGGCCAGCACAGATTTGCAACCCAAGGGATGTTCCTACAAACATTCAGAACATGCGACATCAGCCGGGAGAGTTTCCAGTTATGTTTCTGGGCTCTCGTGACTATTACTGGATTCACAGAGGTCGAGTTTTCAGCTATCAAGAAGGCGACAAAGGCTCAACAGATTCCGGTAACAACAAACATCTGGCCAAGATTTTCAAACAAGGTGAGTAGGGTTTTTTTAAGTATTAGATTTGTGGGGGACAAAAAAAAACATTTGAGGTCACTTTTCAGAGTGATGCCTGTGATTCACTTTTAATCACTCTCAAAAGACCACAGTTCAAACCTGCATAATTACATTGAATAATTTGGATCTCAAAGTTGTTACGTCGTTCTTAGATTTTGTTATTTTTTTATTTATTTTCAAAACAAAGAAACAGAAAGATAAATAAGTGGCACTGTCTTTAGAAAATGACGCATTTTAAAGTGGTACTATGATCAAAGTTTTACCCCTTGAGTTTTTAGGTGTATCACATAGAATTCCATGAAAGAATAAAAACTCCATTTACCATTTGCAAATATCTGCATTAGTTCTGGAGATATTTAAGTTTAAAAAATCTGTAAAATATGCAAATGAGATGACTGATGACTTCATACACTCAACCCAATTATATCAAGTATATAAATGAAGCTATCTTGGTCAATTTACAGCACAGACCATTGAAACTTGGTAGGCTAATAGTTCTACATGAAACACAGCTACGACTCTAAAAAATTCTGTTCCCATGGCAACTTATTCTTCTCCAGTCCCCACCCACTTGATTTCAATATGTTAGTGATTTGCAGCTCGGAAAACATTAAACGAGGCTACAACCTCTAGCTAACATATTTACATGCTTGCTGGATTATGCATATGAGGTACCATTAGCAAATATCAAAATGGAATGCCAAAGGTGGCCAGAAAAGCCTTTAATTTTGGGGAGGTCTGGAACCCAGCATGTTGCCATGGTAACAAAACTGTTAAACTTGTATTGTGGAGCACATTTAGTAGAATCCTTCAGCAAAGAATCAAACATTTCTGATACAAATTGGCTGAGATATCTTTCTTCATATTTGATCAAAATTTGGTTGAGTAGATGATGTCATCACTTGGCTAATTTGCATATTTTAAAAACTTGAATATCTCTGGAATGAAAAGAGATACTTGAAAATAGTAAACAACATTTTCCTTCTCATACAGACTACTTGTTTAAGTTTTAAAATGGCTTAGATAGGAAAGATTTGATTTTCGTCATAGTACCACTTTAAATCGTCAGTAGCTTTCATTTGAATATTTCCACCCTAGGGTTTCATTCACATACACAACAATTTGCTGGCAAGTCACACAAATGCCCTTATAGCCCTTAAAACAATAGACTGAGTTATTTGTTTATTGTGAATGAGTGGTAATAGAAGTTCCAGAGAATTGGAGGTAATGATTCACTGAAAATTTTGAGTATACGTCTTTAATTACTGTCATATGGTTGTCATTTAGTACTTCAATGCCAGATTTTATAAGTATTTACCTTGTGGCACTAAATTTTTCCAGGAGTTTATTTTTGCAAATCGGTGATGTTTTGTATTTTGCAGGACCTAATTCTTGTGATTGTAAAATTCTGGTTTTTCTTGCTGGGTACCAATATTATTTTTACGATTTTCAGGAAGTTCCCTTTAATTGAAATTACAATGTTTTTGCATTTTTAAATTAAACTGCATATAATTGTGAAGTGAAAAAATATGTAGAGACGTACAGTTATTAGTGTCACACTATCTCAATGACATCTGGCTCTTGTGCAGAATTGTAGATACTCTTCTCATTGGAGTACCCTCTAACGATCCTTTCCTAAAAACCTTTTTTTAGTTCTGAACATTTTGTTTCCCCTCCATCATTTTGTTTCTGAACAAAAGAGACATTTTAAATAAATGACAGCTACAAGGTTCTACTGGGGATGTTTGTATGTATACTCTCGCAACTGGAGTAAATTTTTGTGGATTGCAGAAAAATCCGCAAAAATCACAAAAATTAGTACCCTGCAAAAATTTAGTGCCACACGGTGAGCATTTTCAATGAAAGGAGAAATACAGTATCTCAACGTTTCTTGCTTCTGTTCAGCTCTTGTTGAGGCTAAACAGAAATATGCAGAATGGAGGGTGGCACAAGAGAACAAAGCCGAACAAGATCTTCAGAAGATGTCCAAGAAACCAGCTCCCTATAAACACATAAAGGTTAGGAATCTAGTTGAAATTTAAAATACATGCCATTGCGTGATTTGGTATGGTGGCACAGGCAATTGCTATTTATCTGGACATGCTTAGTGACCACAGAGACTGCCTACTGAATTCAGCAGGTAACTGTGAACCAAAACATTGCCTATGAAAACAAAGTACTGTATCTGCATAAACAGGAGAATCATATATATAGCAGGAAAACAGTTAAATCAAAAAGGGAACAGATCGTGGAGAAGTTGATATACGTGAAAAAAATAAATTTATAAAAAATTTGGGTAAAGTTTTTAAAACATGCTCCATGACATATGCCCTCTTGAATTGAAAGTTGGTGTCCAATACAAAGAAAGACAGATCATGATGGAAGCAAACTAAAGGTGTTGAACATGCTGCATTGAATTAATTTAGTGGCATGTCTGTGTGTTCGACTGAAATGTCCGCATAAATGTTTTAAAAACATATTCTGTTTGAAATACAGTTGAACCTCTGGTTGCAGCAGCCAGTATTCCAAAATACCAAAAGTTTCCACGTCAAATGACTATATTTGGAACCTCCTGTAAGCAATCACCTCGTAAATGGCTGCAACAACTTTTGGAGCTAAAAGTTTGAAAATTTCTTTTGTTTTTAACTGCCCGTAAGCGATCACTTGACAGATAAGGGAGAGAAAATTGGATAATAAGATGTTGCATCATTATTGCACCCCTGGGTAGTACAAGAGACGGAAATCTCTCCATGGGAAGTACCATATTTTTTATCAAAATACTTTTTTCACAAGAATGAAACATTTAAAACATGGGGTAAGCCTCTGCAGTTACCATATGTTAACGAGGCAAAATTTTGACCCCATATGTTCTAAATTCTCGTAGGCGACCACCTCCCGTAAGTAGCCACCTAGGCTTGACATTTTGGGTGGTCACTTCTGGGAGGTTTGACTGTATAACCATATTCAGACCATCAATTCACATGAATATTACCTGTTTATAGCCCGTGAATTTAAGGAGTTATTAGCCCAGTGGCTATTGATTTAGGTGAAAAGATGTTGGATGTTAAAATTTCGGACATTTTATTTCGAACGTTAAATTTTTTGACTCTTTTTATCTCATTTCGAACAAAGTTCGACAAAAATTTCAGAATCATTAAAGTAATCGTACATGAACAAAACACAAATTAGACTGAAACAACATCAATGAAAACGATAGTTTTGCTACACCCTCAAGGTTTTCCAGCGACGAGAAAATGACACGTATTCCATCAATTCATTGCATTGCAACTTTGGTGCTATGTAAAAGTTTTATACTGTGCTGTAAATAGTTTGGACGGTTTTATTTTTGGACACTTTTGTCTGCAATTTTAATCATCTGAATTTTTTGCGAGTAATGTATACTGTAACAGGTTTGTTTTCCTCCTGCGAACCATTCCCTGCTGTACCCATGGCAGTGGTATGCAACCTCGGGAGGTAAATAAAATACCAGGAAATTTGTTGCTCAAGTCTTCAAGGAAAACAAAAGTCCTTTCTATCCACATTGATTCATTCTCTTTCTTACATTCATACGTTTGACATGCATACAGTTGCAAACAACAATTTTTCATTCATTCTTTCATGTATGCACACGCTAATTGTACTTGACTTGAAGACAGCAACTCATTTCCACATTTTTAAAAGCCAGAGCATGATTTAGACAGTGAATTTTATTTTCTGTGCATTGAAAAATGCTGGTTGCTTCCTGCATCCATTTCATTGTTATTTGTCTTCTGTGTTATGGTCGATAAAAGAATCATATTTTCCTTATGAAGATTTCCATATTTTTTTCTTGTTTTACATTAATGTAAAAAAACTCAAATTTTGTATTTAATGTGCCCTGTAAAAATTTGATTAGTGCCCTGAACTTTAGATCAAATGGTGCTTGTATGAACTGTTCTTTGGCAAGGCTCTTTGCTTCAAGAGTGCCCCACTCCACGCAGGTGAACAGATGGGTAGTGACAAATAATATGCTGGGTGTAACCCAAGAATTGACTAGGATCCCGTCTGTCAGGAGTAGAAGTATTCTCTCCTTGGCCTCTGAGAAAACCCAAGATTACCATCAGCCTGTTGTGCTACTAGTTTCAAATGCAGACTTTCCTTATTTTTCTTATCCTAGGTAAACAAATGCACCACAGCTGTCCGAATGCTGATTGATCCTTCTGAGCTCCCTGTATGCGACTGCTCACCAGATAGTGAAAACCCATGTGGTCCTGAGGCCAACTGCCTGAATCGCATGCTGCAGTTTGAGTGTAATCCAACACGGTGCCTGTCAAAGGAGAATTGTCAGAACCAACGATTCCAAAAGAGGCAATATGTTGATTGTGAACCATTTAGAACATTACATCGTGGATGGGGGCTGCGATGCAAGGAAGGTGGGCAACGGAAAATTATTGATGAATAAATTAAATGCAATTTAGATGAAGAATATTTTATGTTGTAAAATAAATTACAACAGGAAATACAGTTTGGTAAATAACCGACAAAGCACTGCCTGTTATTGTCAAGTTAAGTGTTTGGAGAATTCTAAATGAAGCCATCAGGACAAAGTGAAGAACAGTTGCTGTCAAAGCTTTGTCAGCATGAGCTCACGAGAAGCGTTACTGGCTGGTCAAGAAACTGTACTATTTTCCACTTTTTGTCGTTAAAGAGAAGTCTCAACACCATTTTGTTATTTTCTGTCTATTCCAGATGTCAAAAAGGGCCAGTTTGTCATCGAGTATGTTGGGGAGCTCATTGATGAGGCCACTTGTCAAGAACGTGTGCGAAAAGGCGAAGACATCACAAACTACTACATGCTGACGATAGACAAGGACTGCATTATCGATGCTGGCCCCATGGGGAATCTGTCGCGGTTTATGAATCATAGCTGTGATCCAAACTGCGAGACACAGAAATGGACGGTCAATGGAGATGTTCGGGTGGGACTTTTTGCCTCGCGGGAAATCAAGGCAGGTGAAGAACTGACGTTTGATTACCAACTGGATTGCTTAGGTGAGTTTGATCATCCATCTTGCATCGTGGTCTGCTGGTTGAAAATGTCATACTTGACCAGTTTGTGACCACTACTGATGGTTTTGTTTTTAATGCTCAAGGAGTTGTATGTGCTACCATTGGTCAGTTTGAATTCATTATTGCATCATAAAGCAAACACCTGACGTCACGGTCATGCTTTATTTAAGAAATAACAAATTCTAAGCCGCGTATTACACTGTGATGAAACACGACAGGCATTTGTCCACAGTTTCTTGGTTTAAAGGAAATTCGCGGTGATGACTTTTTCCTCATGCATTATTGGGTTATATTAGGACATAGAGAGTTTGAAGTTTTTCTGAACATTCAAACAGGGAATGAAAAGAAGAAATGCCACTGTGGTGCTAAGAACTGCAGCAGTTTTCTTGGAGTGAGACCCAAGAACCAGATCCAAGATGAAAAACCGAAAAAGGCAGGAGACAAGAGAAAAAAGAAGAAAATCAAAAAGCCTGTTGTCAAAGAAGGTATGTGTGCCAAGTTTACGTAAAAAAAAAAGTTGAAATGGGAATTTATGGCTCTAAACGGTTACTGCAATGATCTTACTGTAATCAGGATAAAACACAAATGTTATTGTTCAGTAAAGCTATGGAAATCAGAAACAATATTTCTGGAATCGTGGATTGGCTAGATATGTGCCTGGTAAGCATTCTCACAGAACCTTGCATACATGCAAAAGAGCTGGGTTGTTGCAAATTTTTAAAAGTAGGCAGCTTTACAATTGAAGTTATTGGCTGATTTTACAATCATTTTTAAAGAATCAGGCCACTTGCTCAGTTGAGTAGCCCACTGAGATTATATATAATAGATTGTGATTTTGGCCAGTAGCAAGCTACTTTCCACAACCCTGAGTGAGTATGACGGAGTTGTTTGGGTGACAGCTCTGTGAAAATGTTTTGTAAGTTGCTATTTTATATGTATTTCCATAATTATTTCACACATTCTTTACAGCAACTTTGTTTCAATAATGATTTTTTTAACCATAATTATGGTAATATTTATATTTAAATCATAATGATTAAATTAATTTCTAAAAGAGCTATTAAAGCTGGTCGTAATTTGCTGCCAAAGCTCTTTATCTTCCATTTTACTGTTAAAAAAGTGCTTAATTTGTATATGGTCTAATATTGATTGAAAGTTAGAGTTTTAATTATGATAGAGATATTATTACTCTATATTTTCTTTTCCAAGCCATGGCTTTAAACTGTTTATCATTTTAAGCCTGAACAGTGTTAAGCAGTCTTTTCCTGAAATAAAAACTACTTTAACAGTGAGTAATGACCTTAAAGTGTAAAAGCTTGATACTAAACCTTTTAAACTAATTTGCACTAAATCCTGTAAATATACTGCAATGTACTTTGGAACCACAGTCGTGACATTAGAAAATGACAAAGCTGACCCTCTAGTAAATATAGTTATGAATTAACTTGCAACCTTTGGATTAAATTATTCCCCCTTCACATTCACAGTGGAATGTTTATTTTTCAATGGAACATTTTCAAACACTGTTTAATGAATCTTAGCAGCCTATTGTCCCACATTTCCCTGTTTTATAACAACACCCCTTGTTAAAATTTGTTTGAAAAACACTGTAACTGAAGCAAGCATTTTTGTTTGGCTTCAGATACACCAGTGTGCGCGGAGCATCGCAAGCGGCCCCCTCCTCTTCCAGCTGTTCGTCCTGAGGCCAGTAGTGAGCATGGCACAAGTTGTAACACCACTGACCAAGCGATAAAACTCACGGGCACTTCTCCTCTCAATAGCGCCTTGCCGTGGACCTATAGCCCACTTCCATCAGGGCTGACCTTAAACAATAATGCATAGACAAGGTGTGCTAAAACTTAATAACAAATAAGATTCAGAAAGAAGATGTAAAGTCATAGGAAGTGGTTCATTTGGAATAAACACTTGTGAACTATAACTAAATACAGTTATTAATATATTTATAAAAAAAAGTAATTAATATATTTATAAAAAGGTACATATTATTTGAGTTAAACACATGTAAGTGTTTTTATTAACTTGTTAGTCATCTTGCTTCAAATCTGGTTACAGTTCTTATTTTGTCTGTGGACTGCCACACAGAATCAAAGTGTATCTTTGGTTTTCTTTTGATCTACCTATGTTTCACTGTGTTGCTGATAAAAGTCAGTGATTTGGTCAAGAAATCAGCTGATGTTAAATTGTTGGAAATGATTTTTGTTATTAATTTTTACTTGTTATCATACTTAAGAGCTTCACTACCTGTCAGGTTATTAAGGTGATATTTAAACTACCTTGCCGTAAATTCATGATGATCATAAATCAATTAAATCTTCACTATTATAAGTGTAAAAAGCAGAGAACTAGTCAGCAGAGTTTTTGTAAACTTTGGCTGCAAAATAACTCTATATCAGGGCGCCTTTCAGTGAGATGTGAATGTTGAATTTCAAACCCTAACTAACAATTATGTTTTTGGCAGCCATAAATCACAATTACTACAACTATGAATCAAACTTTAGAAAAAGAAACAAGCAAAATGGATCCAATTCTTTTGAACCCATTGAAGTAAACTTTTGTCTCCTGGGGATTAACAGCGACAAAACACAAAGGGAGACTGGGAGACTTTTTTATTGAAAGGCACAGTAGTAAACATAATTTATAAATTTGGCTGTCTTTGCTTTCTTGATTTGAGATTTTATTCTGCACTGAGTGTGAGGCACTTCACAGACACCTCATCTTCTGTGACTTGGACTTGCTTGCAGAATGCATGCTCAGGTATTGGAAGCTAAACGATTGCCAACTAGCCTCTTCTCTAATTTCAGTTCACGAAGATGAATGCTACATCTGCGGTGATGGTGGTGAACTTCTCCTGTGCGACAAGGTAGGCTGTTCAAAGTGCTACCACAGGGACTGCCTCGGAGGTAATGTCACCACTCGTGGCAAGTGGATCTGTCCATGGCACTTCTGCGACGACTGCGGCAAGACAGCAAACATCTTGTGCTCTGAATGTCCAAATTCCTACTGTAAAACTCACGCGTTTGGTCAAATCACAGAGCTAGGAAATGGAATTCCTGTCTGCTGTGACCACATTCTGACACGGAAGAAGACAACACAAAATCAAGCAGAGGATGACAATGACGGTGATGACTCGGTGGCCAGTGCTGGTATTGAATAGATTCAGCTCGAAGTCTGGGGCAGATTTTACACTATGTTTTTAGTACTGTTAGCAGATTTTACTTTGTAGAGTTAGTGTTACACCTTTCACATAAGAATAACCTTATTTGTATTCTGTACATGTATGTAGTTGTAAATTAGGGACGTTGGAAGCTTGCAAAATAGATTTTCCTCAGACGAACTGACTGTATTTTAAGTTATTTTGTAATTCGATCAAGATGCATTTCCCAAGTGCATTTCCTTTGGATCCTGCACGTTGAAAATGAATCATAAAACAAATTGCCAAAATGAAGGGAGCATGGCTTGTTCTTGAACACTGGCTGAATATTATTACCTTCATTATTTTTCAACATTTGACAGATATTTCCTTAGACATGACATTTTACAGTAGGGATCTAATATGTTACTCTTGCCTGTTTAACCTGTTTTGACATAAATAATCTATGATTTCATTCATTACATTCAGGGCAAACATTAATAAATAAATTAAATTGGACAAACCTGCAGCTGGCAAAAATAGACTCTTCTTGTGCTCTTGTGCAATTTTTCAAGTTTAATAGTCAACAACAGTTTTGAACCTGTTCTGTTAGACAACTTTCCAACTTGGTTAAGTGTTGTCGTGAATCAAATAGAAGAAGGAGATACCTTTAAGAGTAATGTTGGGCAATCGACCCAGCTAAGGTGCTTTGACTGTCTGTCCATCCCACAATCAATCATACTAATTTCCTGTACATTTCTTCTGATGTTCTCTCTTGTTTGGTGGAAGACATTATCCCATACTTAATGATTTTCTGTACTCTAAATATGAGAATTAGGGAGATGAATGCTTGGTTTTAACGCAGTGAAGTTTACTACTATAGTTTTACATTTTACTCAACCATAACACAAACTGATTAGCCAGGTTGTGAATTGCTTTGAATGCTTTGCCTGTGATTGATGACAGTTAATATTTGAAGTGACAAACCTAGAGGGCTTACATAGATAATAGCGCTACCATTTCTTTTATATGTCTTCTGAAGTGCTTATATTTATTTGGAGGTTTAATTTCATTTCTAACTTAGCGATCTAGAATATTGTGGAAAGCATGGAAGTAACATAGGCCATGCATTCATTACTTGCCTTCAATGTTTAAACCCCTTGCTTTCTAAGAGTCAAACTTGGCATCCGGTTGTAGTTCTCTTTAACTGTATGAGTGGCTGGCTTGGTATGGGTAGTAATGCCTCTATGTGACCAATGACATGTGAGCTATTTAGCAATATGTTCAAGTAACGCTTTTAGTTTCCTTTACAAAGTGTTTCTAACTTTGAAGTCTGTGGATGAAACCCTAGTGTGTGACCATTCAAATGGTAGCTATTGAGCAGTACTTTCATGTGGTACTGTTTATTATGTTCCAAGGTTGCTCTAACACCAAACTTGTAAGTTTGTGGATAAAACCCTAGTGTGTAACCATTGGATAAGGTGCTAGTGAGCATTACTTTCTTTTGGTCGTGTTTGTTTTTCGGAAATTTCAAATCTTCTCAATTTTTACCTCGAAGGGGTTACAAACATCTTAGGGGGGGGGGGTAGAGGAGTTATTACAGTAGATAGTTATTACATTTCCTTGTGACAATCATTTGCGGCGTTTAGCTTCATCACAACGTTACAAATCCATTTGTATCCAGGTTGACATTTTCTTTGCTCAAGTCTGTTATTATCCCAAAAACAGACTCTAATTCATGACAGGTAGATTGTAGCGTGACACCCGTTCCGGAGTCACGCAAGGATGTGCACCATAGGCGTGACTCCGTGTTCCGGTGGTAAGTTGTTACAATTTGTAGACTAATCTTTTTTGTATTTTTTTTAAACTAAAATTCAATTTTGCTGGGATTGTAAGGAATGGCTTCTAATGTTGGAAAGAAAGTCTTTACTTGAGAGTTTTATTCTTTGTTTGCAATGTTGTTAATTGATTGCAGTGTTTTTAAAATCATGATACCTGGTCTCTGTATTGACCTTGAAATAAATGACTGTCGTAGCATCTTGTGCTGAAGTTGTATTATACCAGTCTCCCTCGGTCATTTTATTCGTCACTCAACTCTCCAGTCCACCGTCCGTAACCCGTGCGTAAAGGTTGACTTAGTGACACCATTATTTTTTGAGGGTTAGTAGGGGAGGAGTTGGGCAAATTCCAAAAGAAATCCTTCACCGCTAAAACTGGTGAAAAACAAAAGTGCAAGAAGAGCCATGGAAAAAATCGAGCAAGTGCTTTTTACTATCATTATTTGGACTTTTGATGTCAAAAATTCTGGCACAAGCTATTGCCCACCCAGACTTTCTAACAGTCCTTTTCAGTAATTCTTCCCTGTCCTGTTAGTGTCGCGACTTACGTTGCTCGAAGATTCGCTCGAGGGAGATGAATAAGCGAAGGATTAGGCAAAGGTCGACTCGTGGCAAGTCTATTGCCCACCCCAAAACAATCACACCCACTTTTAAAGGTGAAATAAAATTTTGTTCTCCAGACGATTGTCCACCCCCCTCACAATATGATGTCCAATGAGAATCAAACTGCGAAAGAAAAAACTCCATGGTCGTAATCTATTAGCTACCTCGTCTTCCGCCTTCCCTGTTCAGTTAAAGCGCGTTGCCCGCGGTATTGTGGGCCTGTTATACGGAAAAATGCAACGAAACGTAACCATCAAGCACCGCGCTCTTTGTTTCCCGCTCTTCACCGACGTAATGCAACGGCGAGTGGGAACGAGGCAGATCTATCACGTTTTCGTCGGAGCAGGAAGCCTTATTGTGGATCAGACCGACCCCCCTCCCCCCTCTCCCCCCTCCTCCTCCTCTGCGTAGATGTATTCCGACAAAGTTGACAAGATCTTTAGCACCAAATGAAGAATATTGTTTATTTATTAAAAACTGATAATGGAATTCGAGAGTTTCCATTGGCTTAGCCATCATGAGTTATGATACAAATATGGTAAGCGTTCGCGTGATATTTTGGGGGGTTTTTATGTCACTTTTAACCTAGTTTTCTATACTTTAGGGGCGTTTTTACTAAAACAATTATTCCGCTCGCGCTTGTTGAATATGAGATGGTTGTAGCCAATTCGGCGCTACGCGCCTCGTTGACTATCTACCATCTCTTATAATCCATCAAATATTTTTATTGCGCGCGCGATTGGTCTAAGCTCGTCACGTGACTGAATACGGCTCCAGCTAAAACTGGAGAATATTTGAGTGATATTCCAAAATTTTCAAAACTGCGCGTTTTGCGAAAAATATTTGAAGGATAATTTAGCCCCAAAAATATACTTGGATATTTGTCCTTGGATATTATCTGTACCTCAAAGCTCACAGTTTTCCTCGAGCTTCGCTCCAGGAAAACTGTTCGCTTGTCGGAACAAAGAATGTCCGCGGACAATATCCGAGCATATTTTCGCGCCAAATGGAGGCTATTGTTTATTTACTATTCAACTTTCATACACTGTACGAGTTCCGATTTTCTGATTGGCTGCTTTGTACCACGTAATACTAGGTTGTGACGAGACAACCACCTTGAGGTCATTATCGGGGCGTAATAATCGTGGTGTAAATTCAACGCACCACTGTCATTACACCATGGCTTCGGCTGACTCAAATTTTGTAGTTTCAATGCAGTGTTTGTTTGTGCAGTGTATTCATTTTGAATAATAAAACTGTTAACGCACTCATTGCTCGTGAATTATCGGGATTTACCTGTACTCGTTCACTAACAATGAGCTCGAAATTTTCAATACCGCACGAGGCTTCACCGAGTGCGGTATTGAAATTTCTTGTTCATTGTTAGTGAACGAGTACAGGTAAATCCCGATAATTCACGAGCAATGAGTGCGTTAACCTATAAATATCCAACGCACGCTCGTGGAATAATTGTTAAAATGATCTTGGGCATAAAAAGCAATGCGCGCGCGAATGACGCGGTTTGGCCGCGCGCTCTGGAGCTGATTGTGATGTCGTACGCACGCACTAGTTGTGGTTTGAATGCGTCGACGTAAATAAGGAACGTTAATTTCGCAGACAAAACAGTGCTGCGAGAAAACACCATGAGTTACGTCCCAAATCATTCGTATATGGGCCAGTATTACTTCAATCCACAATGGATCCATATTGCTGGCGAGAATTCGCCTTCCTCTCTTGTCTATGGCAATATGGTCAATTTTTCAGTGGGTCCCGACGGAACACATTACTTTCACCAGACGTTCAGTGGTCCATTTATTGCTCCGACAACTCAAACGGTCCAATCAGTGAAAACGGTATGCTAGTATAGTATTGTTCTACTATTTTGATCACTTACCAAACGAATTTATATCCGTCTACGGTGGGGTTTTAAGCTGAGAAAGCAGAAATGTAATTCAAAGGATTCAAAAGGGTCTGCAAAAAACAATTCCGCGTGCCATATATTTCCGGAAAACACCTGTGCATTTCTATTGCTCAAATTAGAGTGAGAGAAAGCTTAAGTTCATGTTTGTTCATATTTTGTTTTTCTCGCGGCGTTCCATATTATTTCTCCGCTCCCCTTTCTTTGTTTCTTTGTTTCTTTTTATCTCAACTTTATTTAATATTAGGAGACATAAGATATCAAGGTAAGATCTATGTGACATTGCTTTGCAATTTGCGCATCTGTTTTGAAGCATTTTAGAGAAAGTTTTACCAGCGCTATCATTCACATTTTTTTTTTGTACTCAAAATGTCAGTTGCTGGAACGTGAACCAGTAAGTAGAGACAGGATTTGTCGAATAGCACTAAAACCTAGACAAGCTTATTTTAAGATCAGAAAGAACTCTTTTCTAGCTTGAGAGTTCATCCTCTCTAAGCTACTTTCAAGTTACACCGAAATTTTTGCGACAATGTACTACAGCTCAATTTCGTGGGGGTTTTTTTCACGACGACTGATACTCACAGATTCGAACGGACAATTTCTTTAACATTTCTAGTAGTTATGTAAGCCGCCGTCTTTTTCTGGGACATAAATTTTCTTGATTTAAAAGATACAAAATTGTGTAAAGTGCGAAAATTAAACGTAGTAGAGAACTCGCGCTGTAAATTAAAATTACTTTTTTTAAAATTTGAAGGATGTTGCGCCTCCTTCTTACGACGAAGCAGTTAAAAGACAAACAGAAAAGGCTTCCGGATCAAGTGATAAAGAACCCCGACATAAGAGAGAGAAAGACCATTTCTGCGATGAGGATAAAACGGGCCAAGAAGAAGGTGAAGCCAAGGAGAGTTCCTCGTGCGATGAAGATGACGTGTGGGCCACAGAAGATGAAGATAATGATGACAATGAGAACGAGACGGACAGTTCCGAGGAAGAATATAATGCCAGTTGTACGGTAGGCACAAGACAGGTCTTAACTCAAGCTAACCAATCATAGCGAAATATTTCGAACTAACCAATCAGCGCATGTAATTCCTCAAGCAAACTTGACAGCCATTGGATATAGAATATTTCGAACTAACTAATCATAACCCGTGCAACTTCTTAAGTACATTCGATAGCCATAGGACAGACTATTTCGAGCTAACCAAACATAACCCGTGCGATTTCTTAGATTTAGAAAACGATATCACTGGATAAGAAATCGGTTACCAAACCATCCCTCCTCTTGGTTTTACCAAAAATGCCCAAGAATGACTTTCTCTGAAAAGCAACTTCCAGAGACACATAGCGTAGATTTTTTCGGGCAAACTTATGCACCTGAAAATGACTTTCGTTTGTTTTAGCGGAATCACCCGAGGGACAGACGCCGGCCACTCCATAATAGAAGAAAGAATTCTCCCAGGTCTCCTAGAAGGGAAGTGGACGCGCGTTCAACCATTGTGTCCCTGGTACCGAAAGAATTTCAAGGCTTTTAACAAAACAAAACAACTGGCTTGAAACGATGGAGAATTCCCTGCGAACTTTCAGCTTTCCAGTGTTATGCTCGCTTCCAGATTTCAGCTACACGGCTTGACTTAAACTGGGCCGCTTTTGAGCTTCGATTGTGCATTTATCTTGTTTCATCAGAGAATTTTGATCCCGAAAATATTTTTGTAAAATAAAAGGGAATTTGAAAACCGAATAAACTGCAAGTGTTTTTCATAACCAAATGAAGTTCTATGCTTGAAAATTCGAAGTACATTTGGCAATGAATCTCTTCCCGCATTTGTATAGAAATCACCGACTTGCTATATTAAAGCTGCTTACATGTACATGCACTACCATTTAAAAGTGTCAGCTTTCAGTTTTCTGCCCTTTGTGAGATTTAAGGTCATGTCTCTGCTCAATTCCTCCCTCGCTCGAGGGACGTCTGAAAAGACTGGAACGAAAAGATTCAATTAACGGCGCAGCTTTTTAGGAAACCATCTCGCGTCTCTGATTGGAGGTTAATTGCGCGGAAAACATCGTGACCCAGCGACAGCCAATCAGAGAACAACACGGAACTCTGGAGAACTACGTCATCAGTATGGAATATTTTGATGGAATCTCAGAGGCATCTGCGCTGATAATTTGATGCAACTTAAACAACGACAGAAAATATAAATTTGGTACTCTTGACCATGTTTTGTTCACCTTGACTAGATTTTATAACCACTGCATCTTTTATAAAAAACTAATGCACGATACCTATCTAAGCCCCTCCACTACCCCCTAAATAATGACTACCCTTCTTGTGAGTGCCTACATTGAATTTCAAAGAGCTCTAAGATCAGACTTTAATACTTATGTACAAATTTTTTTTGTCCCTAACCTAAGTACAAATATTACTGAGTTCGGAACCAATAACTGACCACCCTTTCCTTTCAAGTTTTACATTGTTGATTAAAATCAAGAAAACACCTATTACATTTCATTGTTGGTAGATTTCAAAGTCCTTTGTTGTAGAAAAGCTTGGTCTCTTTTGTCATCATTTGGATTTCTGGTTCGAGATCAGCCGGTGAAACCTGAAGTAACAAAAACAAACAGAAAAGTTGAACAGCAAAGCATTCGCACATGAACTATCACCAGGTTTTCCGGTTTTCTTCACTGTCGCTAAAATGCTGACGTCAAAACTATCGGAAAGTTTACGAGTGCTCGTGCTTTGTTTTCATTGGATAACAAGAGTCGTACACTGTTCGAGTATTAAACGAAAAATTCCGAATGGTAAAAGGGTTGAAAAACAGACCTTAAGCGTTCGTTTTCTTTAGAAAAAAACTCGCACATTCCGCAGATGTGAAGACAACTTAAACTTAAACTCTAACTTAAAAACTCCTACTTAAAATAACCACATTGCTACATGTGCACAATACGTAATTTACTGAGGTACGGCCTCGCCACACTACGTAGGAGGAATTTGAAAACGGAGGTTTCACTCTGCGAACGCATCAAATGTTTTCCGTCCTCACTACGCCGGGGGAATTTGAAAACGCAACAATGTACATCACACAAGCTTCGTTTTCAAAATGCTTTCGGCGGTCCAAACTAAAACGCAACGCCGGTGTTTTTAGATTCCTCCGATTTGAAGAGCGTTTTGAAAAAGCTCCGTTTTTCGTGACGGATTAGTATGAACGGAAGGCCTAACCGGAGAAACAAAGCTCCGTTTTCAAATTCCTTGGGCCTAGAGTGGACTGGGCCCAAGTCATTGGATAAGGATTACACTCTCACCTCAGATGTTTGAGGAAAGAGCGCGATTGCCAGAGGAAGACCAAAGCCAAAAGCTGCAACACAAACCAGCGCTTGAACGGGAAGGTGGAGTCTGGGACGTGATACCATGAACTTCGTCCTGTGTTGAATAAACCAAGAGCTTATTAATGTTAGCACAAAGGTCCAAAGGATCGTCTTGGTTCTGATTGGACAATATCTGATGCATCCGTAACTCTTCGGGAACCTTCAGGAAGCGTTCCGACGATTTGCGGAAACCGACGATTGTTTCCGAGTGGCTCGATAACCTTCGGTTTCGTTCGAAATCTCAACTCTGGTTATTGAGAATCTTACCTTTCTAAAAGCTGCATGGCAAATGGTGGAATAACCAAAACAGGTAACGGAAGAAGGATTCGTGTCAGAGTTGTTTCAAACACGGCCTGTGAGTAAAAATGCACAAAGAAAGGTTTACAATTTGAACGTCACCACTTTATTCATGAAATAAACCACTTCTAACGTTTAGCTTTCCTGCTTTGTATGTACGCCACTCTTCCGACTAATTCTACGAAATTTTGTGAAATTCCAATAATTTACACCGGGATATGAGCTCTAGCTCCACCCGAGGGGAAAAAAAATTGGCCCCCAAATTACAAACTATTAAATGACTGTTGAACTGGTTCGGCACTACACATCGTAATGCTTTAAAAGAGTTGTAATTTTTGTTTTACTATGCACCTTAAATTTTCCATACACAAAAAAGTCTTCCAAAACCCAAATAAAGCCTAAACATTTCTGAAAGACAAAACGAGAAGTTTCTCTTAAATAGAAAGCGCCTAATAAATCCTGTATTCACCAAACTTGTTCGATCAATATGGCTGGATATTGGCCTCGTTCATTTTGTGTGTGTGTTTATGGAACTCGACTCCGTCTTTGTCCATAGACACACCATAAAAGATCTTGGCCAATATCTAGCCATATTGACCTCACGCCCATATATATGTACCTTTCGAGCTGCTATTTTTGAAGTTCCCACAACATTTCCCTCTTTGTCTTTCACTTCAATTCCCGTAAATAGCTCGTGGTTCCTCATCAGGACCACGTTACAGATGTTCGCAGTTGCTGGAAGACGAGAAGAAAATTTTGTTTCTTGAAGTCTGTTTGTTAATTGGCTTATGTTTGATAAAAAACGGACTGCAACGTGCATGATTTTTGCATGGCGTGACTTTTCCGCTTTTCAGCGATTTTACTTTTCATAAACGCGGGAAATAGAGCGGTTTTCTAGCCAATCACGGCGCGCACAGACAGTGCAACGAATCAATCAGAATTCAAAGCAGACAGCAACATCAAGCGCGCAGCAGGAAGGCGCGCGAAAACCATGTCGCCATGCTTTGATTTTTTCTTAACTGATATCTGATTGATTTCATAAAAGCATGTTATTTTACTTTCCTCTAATTACACATGTATTCAGCACAAGAATGCTTGCCCAGTTAGCGAATTAAGGCAGAGGTAATGTTGGAAAACTAAAGGCTGGTGTTAATTTTACCTGTAGCAGGATAGGCCACTAATCGTTGAAGTAAGGCTTTGATTGAAGAATTGGAAATCTTTGCTCTTTTAACCAGTGTAGTCAATCCTAGCTTTAGGAAAAGAACATTCAAAAGTAAATGCCAATACGGGGCTGATTGGATATCAGTCTTGTGTAAGAGGAGGAAAAGTGTAACATTTTTTTTTTTCTTATCATTTTGACCCATATCATGTGTTTTGGACTCAACTAAATTCCGACCTTCGGGAAAGTGCGAGAAAGGTTTTTGGAAAAACTTGAACCGTAACAGCGAATTTTTCCCGTTTCCTCTTGGACTTGAAGGTTGTCTCTATATTTTCAGCTAAGATAGAAAACGACTGAAAGCAAATTGGCCTCATCAAGGTAATCAAGCGAGTCAAATGACAAGTCATTTTACAAAATACGTCATTCTAAGCAAAAAAACTTTTTTCAATGTAAATTCTGACAACTACATACTGCAAATCAAGATAATCTCTTAGTTGATGTTTTCCTTCATTCTCGTTACCTCTTTGCTTGACAATGTATCGACATGGTAAGGAAAAAGTTAATGTTGAACCAACTTGTGAATAAGAAAGCTAATTATCAGAGCTTACAGCAATTGTGACCGCACTTGTAACAGCCCCAAAGTAGCTCAACACGAATCTGCTGGTTGGTGTTGGCTGAAGATGAAACAAAGATGAATATGAATCAAAAGGTTACAAAACACTCCAATCTTATCTGTGCAGAGAAGAGAAAGGGAAAAACACCACATTTAACTTGTGAGTTCTTAAGGTGGCTGGCAACAGTTTCCAGCACTTTTCGAACATTTAAGGTGGCTCTGAGCTCCCTCCATAGAAAAATTGCATCTTTCCATGCTTATCACAATTCGCTGACAAAAAGTGGGGGTCACGGAGCGTATAAGCACTTAAGGCTAAAATTAAGGGAGTTTTCAACAGGTTGTACTGTTATGGTTGGGCATTTATGTGATGCCAATATTGTAGCTGCATCACTTGATAAACAGTGCCAGTATTGATTTATCAATTAAACTACAGCTGTTGGAAAAGTGACGGAAACTGTTGTCAGCCACCTTAAACGTAACGCCCGTTAAGTTTCATGAAGGTACATAAAACAAATCGTATTTTCTTCTCAACAACTGATTAATTTGCGTCAATGTAAAATTTATAAGATATTAAAAATATTCTAACCTTGCTTGCATTTCTATTGGAGTAGTTCACTGCGGCATTGTGACTTTGGTTCATCCACTGTAACATCGAAAGTAGAAAGTTTGCTAGCTCCAGGAGGTCTTAAGCTTGCTAACTCCAAGAGTTTTTTGGCGGGAAAATATGATAATATATCATCTTCCAAAGATTTCTCTTACTGCATATGTAGATTCCGGTACATCATTACCTTTGCTGTTTGTTTTATTTTCAACTTTGATCGGGTTCATTAATTTTTTTAGAAAGAAAACAAAAGACATGCATCAGGTTACAGATTAAACGACAAATTAAGGCCATTTTATTAATCTACGAATTAAGACAAAATCTTCAAAGTTAACCTTTCCCATGCAAAGCCTTATTACAGTCATTTAACATACGGACTGTTCACGACGTGTGTTGGGGCTGCCAAAACAAACATACCTGCCAAAATATTACAGTCCTCAAAGATGGTGCTGGTAACAGCATTCCTACAACCTGAAAAAAATATACCCCAAAACAAAGTCAGTTGAAAACATTTCTGAAAGAAAATAAATGGTTCTCTTATATATTAATAGCGTCGCGCGCAATTGACGTCACGTAAATATAAGGCCGGGTGTGACTCAGATATTAAACAAACCATTCCACGCGCTACTTCTTTAAGAACGACGTTTGGAACAACGGCGCTCGTGAGCAATTCAGCGTAATTCAGCGTAATATTCATCGATTAATTTCACAAATCTATAGCCTCTTTGGGTCAAACTTTTAGAGAAAACCACAACATGTACCTTGGAATAAAATACAGTTTGAAGGAGGGCGGAAGGAGGCTGTTTGTGAATACGTTCTGTGGCACTGGAAAAAAATGTCAGTGTACCCGACATTCAAGTGAGTCAGTCACACGACAGCCAGAAAGCTAGGAAAGATATACCATGAAAGAATACCATAAATCCAATCCGATTCTTCGTTTTGTCGTTAAGAAACTGGCTTGCTCTGTACTACACATTGCTGCACCGGATATAAGGGGTGGTGAATGGTTCTTCAAAAACCATCGGCCTCACCACCGTGCAATTCTTGTCTGAGTCATCTGGGGTCCATTGGTGATGCAATCTATTTCTACCAATAATTATTGTGCACGACACTATTAAATCTAAACTAATCCGTGTCCACTTCTGAAAAATTTCTCATTGCTACATATGAAACTAACTTATTCATGATAAAACGGGGGACTGTAAAAGCTGTAAGAATTTCCCTTATCGCCATCCTTAAGGTGATTCCCTAGTAAAAGAACCCGCCATAGTTTTCCGATGAAACTTGGTATGCTATTGTTACAGGACAAGGAGATATTAAAAACGTAGTAAAAAGAGGGGGTCACCGTGCTTGTTTTCACGCCACAATGCTGACAAATACCGTCATTTAGGTGACTTTTGGTAATCTCCGTGCCCAACAAATAAGCTCGATTATTTTTCAATGCAGCGTGTCATAACACACAGACTTTCACTTTCTTTGACTGTTTATTCATCTACGTCCCAGAAAAATGTCTTCAAATACCCTGCATTTTCTTATCCTTTAAAGGAAACATGATATGGACATGCGCTGTTGGGCCCGTTATGTCTCCCTCTGTAGTATTTATTTCATTTGCCAAAAAAGTAGCCATAGATTTCTGCTAAATTTTTTCTCCGTTATTGAGGATATTGTTCTCATTGAAATTGTGAAATAAAATGTGGGGGTCACCGTGCTCGTTTAAGAGAAAAGGGGCATTTATTTCGCTATCGAGCTTAGTTTGAGGGAAATTTCTTACGTTTTGTACGCGCACTAGCTAATGACGCGAAATTTGTGCGCAGTAGGGATGCGCAATGCAATGCTAAAGGATCACCTTAAAGTAAAACTTATATTGTTACCAACAACTTAACTAAAGGATGTAAACATTAAAACTTGCCGTTACTGTTCCAAAAGGTACATATCCTGCAGAAACAGAGATGAGAAAATCGCTTGTCATAATTTTTTTACTATAAAAATGTATGAATGATAAAGTAACAATGTTAAATTGATCAATTTTTTTGAAAAAAAAAAACAAAACAAACAAACCTGACATTCGAAATGGCATCAAGACTTTCTTTCCAGTATCTGGATGTATAATGGCCTGGAAATAGAACAGGAAGTAACACACAGTGAGGCACTCAGGACCTTTTCCTGCACCCATTTTTTTTATTAACATCATACCAGTGGATCTAAAATATTAATCTCAAAGAGGCCACCAGATCAACTTCTGTCACCTCCAAGGAAAATGCAATCTTGATTCAAAAAAAGGACACAGTAGTTTGTGTACAGTACCCCACTTGTCACAACGTCTGTTCCTGTATCTTTGGCCACAAGAAAACTCCATTAAAAAAGACAGTCAAGAAATTATTTAAATTTTCTAATGGCTAAAGGCTGAATAAGAGTCACCTCCTTTACTTTTCTTGCCTCCCACAGCTTCATGTTATATGTTCAGAAGAAAACAAAACAAAACATTAATAAAATTGTACTTGTTATGATCACTTAAAAAAAATAACAGACTACAGATTAGAGCAAAATATACAAAAAAGAAAAGAATGCCTGTTTGTCCATCTTCTGCACGATATCTTTTCACCGACTCAGGGAAGTACAACAGGTTGTAATGTATGGATAACAAACAGAATCAAAATTGTGAAGCAATGATCAATGAAAGTACTGATTATCTACCGAATAGAAGTTTTAAAATGAGATTATGACAAAGTAGCTCCTCTTTCCAACTCCTCCTCTGGGGATGACACAAATAAGGCTAACATTTTGTTTCCTGGCCTTACTAGACTTACTAGATTATAGCCTGAGAGTGTCTCTCTCAGACATTTGTTTGTTGCTTAGATGCAATTGTTAATTAAAACACCTTATGTACTCTGCATGGATCTTTGCACTTAGGTCTTAACACCAACAATTCTGCACACAGACCTTGCTTTCCAATTGGATGATGAACAGATCAAATTCATGAACAGGTTGTGTAGGACGAGAATTATTTTATTTACCCTCTGGTCTGTAGTTCCTTGTGGTAATGTGCCATTTTCAAATTGCTGTAATAGCTTTATGGATTCTTGAAGCTTTTTCTGCAATTAAAATAAAATTAAAAGAAATATCTTGCAGACAATATGCTTAGAGCTCAAACCGACAGTTTTCAGGTCAAATGATCATGTATGAGGCGAATATGAATTAAAAGGGAGAAAATGAGTAAAAAGATAATTGCTTTCATCCAAAGTTTGGAGTGCTGATAAGGAGACTCACAATGATAAAAAGTTATATGGCTACCTATCTCGAGGGTAGGGAATATGATGCTCTGAGAATATTTGACATAGTAAACTGCCAAGAGAGTGGGAAATTTGACCAAGAAATTGCCCCAGTGCAATATGGGTGCTTTTAGATTTAACTAATGTAATTATGCCTTGGAAGCATAGAAAAAAACAGGTACTACCTGATCAAACATATAACCCTGGGGGAGGTACTTTCGGAATTTCTTTTTTTTTTCTTTTTTTTTTTTGGTTATTTTTATTTTTATTGGAAGAAATCTCTGGGTGGGGATGTGCCGCTGAGACCCTGGAACCCTTAGCCTATACCAGAGCTAGTTTAGCTGAATTTTGCCAACCTATACTAGAGTAAACTCCCCAAATCCCCCCATCTATCGACACTGTTGAGGCTGATTTGCGTAAATTNCAAGGACCGGATCCGCCACTGGTATCATGGAGAGTATCTACTATCCATGCTGGTATGTGCAGTCCTAAAGGGTATGGTTTTTCAACTATTTTGGTCATAAATAGGGGATCGATTTTGGCCATAATTTTTTGTTCATAAATAAGATATGGCTTTTGCATCCTAGTCTTGAATTGGGTAAGCTTTTTAGAAGAAGCTGCTTTTTCATCATTATCGATAAGACCATCAACAAAATCCCTTCATAAATTATGTTTAGAGCAACTGTGCCAGCCGCAATGGTCATAAATAAGGTATCAAACTTTTGGACGGGTCATAAATAGGGCAGGGAAAATGGTCGATTTTGGTCATAAATAGGGTAAGGGTTTTGGGAAGCGAAGAGCGGGCAACACACCCCCACCCAATTTTTCTGGGAGAACCACGCCCCCCCGCCCCCTCCACCCCCGGGGGAACTATACTTTCGACAAACCAGAAATAATGAGATCGGCTTACCTCTCCAACAAACAAAGTTCTAGGGTCTGTCACATCAAGGCAACGTTTATATCTACCAAGATATGTTGTCTTAGAGAAGAAGGGACAAAAACGATAAGCTAAAGTTCTAAAATTCAAACTGAGAAACAAAGCAAAGTATCTGCAAAGTATGATCTACAAAGATTGCGCAATGGCATCGATATCTTTAACGCTTTAGAAAACCTTTCTCGAAATAATTACCTAGCGTAGAAAAAGACGATGGTTACCTGATCAAATCGCGATTCACTGAGGGAAAACTTCGGATAGCCAAGAGATGGAACGGTGTCCGCCATTTTGAGGGTCAGCTGGCTAAAAGCTCGCAGGCTCGTTCTGTTTACTTATGCATGGTAAAATGTCGGACTTCTGGACTTGAAAACCCGAACTATCAGATTCTTTTGGGTTTACTCAATTTTGCAAGTTTCTTTTGGACTAGAAAAATTCCAGTGACACATTTAGGGTGTACAAGTAAAGAACCAAAAAAGACAGCGAAAAATGGCCTTTATAGACGGCCCAAATACCCTGTCTTTCTAATATTTTGTCAGGGTTCATTTTAAAAACGCTAGTTTCGCTCCCTTCGATAAAAAATGTTCGCTTGTATGTATTCATTTGCATCAGATTTGGTTTGAAGCTTTGAGCGTGTTTTTAGTGGGAGAAGAAATAATGGCGAACTTTCTTTCTGTCTTGACATAACCTTTCGAATAAATGAAGTTACTCTGTATTCATTGATTTACGACGTGCAGTCTCGTTTCAGAGTTCTTCTGGTCCGTAAAAAGTGGTCGAAAATACTAGAAGTTTTCAGTATAAACTCTTGCGAATATCCTCTCCCGCAGTTGTCCCTCTTTCGCTTAGTCCTTCAAGCGTTAACGTAAATAAACCTCAAGAAAAAAAAAGTGTATTTTTCTGGTGGTTTTCTTTCGCGTCTCGCAAGACGGGGAAATAAAAGATGCACAAATCGTAGTCTAACTCAACGAAACTTTCGCCTAAAAACTTTTGTTAGTAGCAAGGTTTTTATTTTTTTCAACATTATTCATACTTAAGTTCGCTCACTGTATTTTTTTCCGTAAAAAAAATGTGTTTTAAAATTTATTTCAAATGTTACGAACGACTAGCTCATAGTCTCGTGCTAGTACAGTCTGAATTCCTGGTCTTTCCTCTGTCTGTAAGTGCCGAGAAGACAGCTTAGCATTCGAGCTAACAAGCGACGACCTTATAAATTAAACTAAGGCACAATTTGCGCAGTTGCTGGATCACGAGGTTTCAGTCGGCCTTTCCTGTTGCCGCACCCCACCCGGCCTCAGTAGGGTGTGGCGTACTAAATTCAAGCCGCTGCCGGCGCCGGGGACTTGTTGGCCAGAGGAAATGTTGGCCAGTCTGCTTTCGTGTCCGTACGCACGACCTCTCTGAAAAAAAAGTGGAGTGAGGCATACATTTGGAAAGCACGTCCTTGGCCTTAAGAAAAAAGATTTGGGTAAGATAAAGACCTACCGGCGAGACGTGTGATAATTGAGCAATTTTCTAGGCATAACAGCATTAACTGTCCAGTCTAAATTATTTAACACGTACTTAGAACCGTTCTGCCATTTCCGCTTGTCCTAATCAACGTTTTCAGACAGTAATTTGCCCACTTTTCGCTTTGATGTACAATGTTTAAAAACACAACTTCGTGACCCATATTAAATTGAAGTCAAAAATGTTTTTGCAGTCAAATTAAAATGATCCCATTTAAAGAAGCTTTTTTTCTCAGTAGCTTCGAGGACATCGTTTTTCATTGAAGTCACAAGTACCTTTTTGATATTGTACTTGCAACTCCAGGAAACTGTCAATCTGAGGATCTTTGACAGTATTTTGGCAATGTACGAAGCCGACCAAGGTCAGTGAAATACCTACACGAATTCGAATAAAATATATATTGTTGCCGCAGAACATTGTGTCATGTAGTGTTTGACAGTTTCCGTGTAAAAAGAAAACAAATCGTTCTTCCTAGGAAACCGTTTCTTAGATTAATGTCACATAACTGAAGTTAGATAACATAACTGAAAAGAAACCGACGTCGCTATATCGTATAAATAAAAGGGAGGTCAAGGTTAAGATTAGAAATCAGCAAAGAAATTGAGAGAGTTGTCAGCTTTTTTTCGACTTGAGTGGTCTGATGACTGTGTGGGAAGCGTGCCATCGTGATTCGTTGACTCTGAACAACTTATCTGGCTAAGTGTAATATTTTTCGAGTCAAATCAATGGTTATGAAGAACAAGTAGGCCGTGCTCACACAACGCGTACAGTCAAACAGTTTAAAATTAGCACTGAAACTGCAAAGTTCAAACTTCACATACACGTAAAACCAATTTCCAACACAAACATTTCGAAATTCACAATCTCCACTGATTTTTACTGGATTTGACATTGGCCTAGAGTTCAATAGCTATTGTTTACTGTAATCGAGTAATTCGCACGTTGTATGCTTCACGTGAGTCGAATTTTAGACCATATCAAAACCTGTCACAGCCGAAATATCAGTGAGGTTATATAATCTGTCCGCGCTTCGATAACAAAAACCTGAAACCTTTCTAATGCGCCTCTGCGTTAGAATATTCAGTAAACCCCTTATCCAAAAGTTATAAGGTATCGTTAAGAACCAAACGCTAAAGACCTTGAAGTCCATTGAAACGGTGTATTTTTTCCCCTTGGTTGAGTGGTCCACGGCCCCGTGTAATGAATATCAGTGTTATGATAATTTCCACACCCCAAAATGTAGAAAAGACGGATAAATATTTCCACCTCCTAAAAGGTCCTAAAAGGTGAGTAAAATGCTCGGTGGAGGCATTTGGAGACCAGGGTCCTCCACTCTTTAAGGGAAAAGCCTCGTGACCAGTGAAGTAATGTCTCTCCTTCAACAGAGTTTTGTAGTTTGATTTTCACTGCCTATGAACAGACTTCTTCCCTCCATGCTTTGCTTCGATGTCTTAATTACTGACTGATTTTACGCATATCTTGATCTCTCACAACTGATGAGGAAGGCCGATCACGAGTATTCTGTTGTGGGCTCACATCTACGCTTAAACTGATTCAAATCACAAAGACGTGTAATGCGCTCGAGGGAACTAACGTCCTAGTGCAGAAAATAAAACCATTGGCTACAACAACTGTGTTTTAGAGATAGTACGAGGCTGACGAAGCACCCTAGTATATATCTCCCCAGATATTTGTGGTCCGACCTCAACATGGTTCCGTATAACTACCCAACTATGCATTGCTCGCCAAACTAATCTGTATCCTGATATACCGGCGCGGATGGGAGAATTTTACGATCCTTTAGGTGGTAGCAAACGAGGAAATCTCTGAACTGATATATTACCGAGAAACAGGAAAACAGTTCGACTCATTTGGATTCTGACCCTCTGGGAGAAGTCTATCCTTAATTTGTATGTACCCTTATTTCCCGCATTTCTCTTACGTGGCACATCGCTACCGGCGTTGGAAGCGCTTGGCTAGTGTGGTCGAAAGGGGCAGTGCTTTTCGGGGTATTAAATACTGTACATTTAATACAAATGGTAATGACACCACAAGGCTTTCATTGTGTGAACGAATTGTTAATTAAAAATTTCCGGTGTTGAGTTGGCAGAGTCAATCCGCATTTCCGTTAATGAAACTCACGATTACAGGGTTAGAGAATGAAACAAAATCATAACCGTTCCATGAATATCGCACGATTTATATATTCTGCAATGAATATAGCGTGCCGCTAATTTTATCAGTGTTCGTTGATTGGCATTCGGCTGAAAACAAAATAACTGCAAAAAGTCGGTGCATAATTTTAAAAGAACCTTAATTGTCTCTGCGTGCACGCAACATTATACAACTGACAACCGCTAGTTTTCTGTGTTGTGCTTTGATTAGGATAGAAAAAGATTTAGCAGAGATTAGGACGAAAACTGCAGTTGCTTCCATATGCAAATTAGAAAGAAAGTAAGCGCTCCGCACCCTGGATTTTTTCACGTTGATCTCTGAAAGTAGATGATATTGATTCCGCAGTCATGTTTGTAAACAGTAATTTAAAAGAACCATTAATTTTGGTTCTTAGCACAATTTGCTGATCTTGTAAGAGAGAACAGAACCGGGAAAGTAAAAGCCCTACACCAATATAGACTAGAGGGAAATTTTTGCATAAATGTTAATTTATACATATTGCGATGCGAGAGGTAAATTTCCCTTCTTTATAGTTCGCTTCGTTTGGTCTGTACATCTTTGTAGATGTATCACTTTACAGCTGTAACCTGATGAAATCCACGAACACGTTTATTTACTCTAGCAGATCTCGAAATTTGTCCAGTCCTGCTAGACACTTTCTGCTGAGTTGTCAATATTTCAATCAAGGATTTTAAATTTAGCCACTTTCAAAACAGTTTGCCAAAGCACTGAAACGAGGTCAAAACGTCAGAAGTGGAAATAAACACGGCACAGCTTATACAAAGAAATAAATGAGCCCTTTCAGTACGTACAAGCTCGAAACGATAAGTTCTGTTCCCGGACTTTTACAATCTTAAATATTTTAGCTGAAGACGGCTGAACATTAGGTTTGCTTTTATCCCCAATTTGGAAACACATTAAGCGGGCATCGAAAATGGCCTCTCAAACTGCCATATGTTTGATCTGTTCAATGTAACATCAGAAGTATTCATAACAATGTTCCTTATGAGGGATTTCTCACTGTCTCCAGAAAACTATGTCGACTGCTTTGTAACATTCTAATTTTTTGTTTACTTACTTTTCATTAAGATATACGCCCGTTGAGTGGCGTATTTTTGCATGATCGGAGTGACGGGTAAAGAAAAAGGTATTTGTCGCGAGAGGGGAACAGACAGAAAGAAACGACAACTTGGTGACCAAAAAGGATCAGAAAACAAAATCAGGAAATATATTTGAAAACGAAATCCAACCCTTTTGCAGTCGCCCCGGGAGACCAACCTCTAGAAATGCTACCACATGAATTTTTAAATGCAGCCTCCCTGGATAACAGGCCAAGGTGAATTAAATGCCCAATGTAAAAGGTCAATAAAATGTTCCAATCACGCCTCACATTTCTACATAAATATATGGCATACATTTTAACTAAAAAAAGGCATTGCGTGAAAAGATCGAACTTGTCACACACTGGTGAGTTCTTTTCAATAAACACCTAGACAGGTCATAGGCTTAAATAGCTCAACCAATACAAAGACAAAAATAGCGGAAAACAATAGCTCCTTGAAATATCCCGCTGATTGTGAATGGCCATGCTAGACTACCTAAACAAGAACTCCGTCTATCGGACAAAAAACATTTTGAACGCGCAAAAACATACGCTCAAGCAAGGTCTTTACGCCGAAGCATTACAACCAGCCGCTTTCGAATCACTTACATACCTCTAACATTGACAGGCTAGTCAAAACTATTGTTTTCGACTGACAAGAATATGATATTACTGAAGTTGTCACAACTTTAGTGCAAGCGTTGACAGCAAGTGACATGGTCGATCGCGTAGTTTCATTGCAAGGGGTTTTCTCCGAGTCGCCATGGCGACATGTGCTGCAATTAAAGCGTTTTTGCATTGATGCTTTTAGATTTTTCGCAAGTCCGGCACGAAAGCATTCACTTAAGCTAACTGAGAGATGCTTAGTTCCTTAATGCAAAGGCTTTTTTCTAATAACTTCCTGATATAATTTTGTTGTTATTTCTGATTATTGCGTTATGAGAGGGATGTCTTATCCATTACATTTCCGATGTACAAAATTCGTAATATAAAACACAAACAGACCTCACATTAGGAATATATATATAATTACATCAAACAAAACGTAAAGTCTGTTTATTTGGCAGGATTGCTTTATGAATTTTCACTTCAAATGAACATCAAAAAGAAAAAAAAAAACAACATTTACAACGTTTATAGAGGAAGAAAGGCTGTTTTTACTAAGCAACAGTTCAAATATTGATTTCAAATAGCGTCGGATCTTTTGACAATCTTGCAAAGAAATTCGTTTATAACCGTTTTACCGGTAAATCGCGCCAAAAGAGATTTTGTGGCTATCCCAAGGGAGCGATAAATGAAAATTAAAACTGGCACTGTGCGTGCCACCTTCGCCTATGGAAATGTTCTTCTGTCCATCACTGCTTTTATTTGCGTAATTGAGCTCTCGAAAGATCTCACGTTCATCAGACTGAGTGGGCGAAGATTTGGGCAAGTTCCTGCCTGTCCAAACAAGCCCCGGATAAACGTAAATTCGAAAGACGTGTTCTTATTGTCTAGTCTCTGCCATTCCCCTCGGAATTGATGTCACCGTTGGATTTCAGAGGCACAACGGCCTTTCATCGCTTTGACACATTTATAAAATATTCCTTCTGTCCAAAACATAATATAGCGCGAATGGCCGTTTTAATGCGTTTGTGCCGTCAAAAACTTAACATGTTGTACAAAAGGACGATTAATTAAGTATTTTCTTTGCTAAATAAAACTTTTGTACACCTTTGCGAAAAAGCCGTCGATTTCTATGTTAGCTTTCGAGTTGCCAAAGCTCTTCCCACGTGGAACACCAAAGCAACCATGTGAATTTACACGTTATGTTTCGTCTCATTTGATTGGTTCTCTGCGTTCCTTCCAGTCCCTCGTGATTTTTTCTATTGTCTTTTAACCAATCAAAATGTTCAGATTGGCGTGTGATTTCCATGACGTTTGGGCGCGTGACACATATCTTGTTTTCGTTTTGATAATATTTACCATCCGCGTACAGCACATGCAGATAAAAATTTGTCTCGTGAATTTCGTTTTTGGCTCGCGAAATATTCACTTAGAGAAAAGCCATGAATATCGAACAGCTTCTAGAAGCTGCTAAAATCATCGAAGAAAGGGATGAAGGTAAGTTTTGCTTGTTTCCCTGCGAAAAATCCGTAGCACATGTCGTTCTCACGCCCCGCTAATATCCTCTTTCCGCCCCAAACTACAGCGAAGAAGCAGAGTCAGGCGTCTGTCAAACGCGATAGAAAGCCAACGAAACGTTCACCGAGCTACAGGTAAGCGATTCATGTTGTTTTTGCTGTACGTTTCACGTTAAAAGTGCTATTTTACTGCCTTCTGCCACGTTGCATGCGTTGTGGTGAAAGTTTGTGCTCGAGATTATGGCGCCCAGTGTTTTGTTCTGTGTACCTTGTGTACACAGCAGATGTGAAGTACTTTAACGGCCTTTTCAATCTTTGGGAGCATCATGAGTTCGCTGGAAGGCGTGTTGGCGTGTGAACACCAACGTGAAATGGACAAGAACTGTCAGTTGCCGGTCCATAACGCGCCTGAAATTGATTTGCTGAAATAAGCATCTTCGTTCCCTTTGCGCGGACCTTCGTTATGCTCCCCGGGTATTCCCCGAGACCTGACGGCGTGGGCTATATTTATAAAGTTCGTTTCGGTACAGAACCTCTATGTTGACAATGTTTCGTACCTGTAAAGCCTTCCTCAATGTCCGTCAAGTGTGGCTTTGGATTTTCGTGAGGAATACCACTCGCGGCTTTGCTTTCTGTGCTTTGAAGCTTCATGTATGTTTTATAAACACAAGAGTCGCCCTCACAGAATTCTGTGCCCTTGTCCAGTTTATATGTAGTCAAGGCATATATGTCGCGTATTCTAGTGATATCCTGGTAGGTTGTGCTATATAAGGCATTTTTTAGATAGGTCGCTGACTAACGACAAGCTTTTTTTGTTTCTGTTTATGCACCTTTTTACTTTCTATACATCCTACTGTCAACTCTACCAGCCGTACGACACATAACCAGTTGGAGAAAAACCGGTAAGTACACAAGACCAACCACTTAACCTAGAATAAGCTTTAACCAGCAAGTAGTTTAATTCGCAAGGCAAAAAGATTTTCAATGCGAAGTATTAATTTTTTTTTTAGTTGTGTAGTTCGGTTGGAGGTTTCCGTTCAACAAATGTTCCTCTATTTTGCCACGTGGCCCACCAAAACAACAGAATGCACGTGCGAAACGCATACCAAGTTAAATACGTACGCACGCGTCAAACGTTTTGGTTTTTCACGAAAAGAAAATGCGATCTTGCATTCGTCTTGTGAAAACATAAAAATTAAACTTGGATCTCATATACATATACATAGCTGGGTAATTGTTTTGGTTTTACTGCAGATGTCTCGCCTTGATTTAGGCGCCAAAAATTTCGCCACTGGTTTTCCGTGAATGGTTATGGTAAAAGCAATTATTTTTCCTGGTACCTGTCCCAAAAATTTTCCGCTTCTTTCGTCAGCTAAACATGACAAGGTAGAAAAACGCAATTTGTCTATTTCTGGAGTTGAGATTGGTGCGGAAATAGAATATTTACTTCTCCGCTTGGAGTAATCCTTTTCAAACTGTGGAAAGCGTGCTAGTCTATTTTTCCTGTATTATAAATCACGCCATCTCAGAGATGGCGGAAAAATTTTGCCAGTTTCGTCTATAGACAAGCTTTCGTGGGCGGATTGAGTTTCAAAACACCAGGAAACCATTGTTTTTACCCGACTAGCAGGTTTCATTAGGTTGATGATAAAATATTATGGTTTTAAATGCATTTCCATCGTTGTGTTTCCTTCGTTTTAGGCGAGCTCATCTTAGGGATTGTTTGGAACTACTTAAAGAATTGGTTCCTTCACCGCCAGAGCATCAGAAAGCGACTACTCTAGCGTTGCTTCAGAGCGCCCAACAATATATTCAGGTAAACATTACGCTTCTTTTTTTCTTATTCTTCATAACGACTGGAACACTCGCCCTACAAATTCAAGAAATTGCAACTTTAGATATATTTGGATACCTTAAGGGCCCAGAAATTGCAACAATGGTTTCTAAAAGTGATCCCTAAACAAGCCATTTGGGGAAGCTATATGGCTTTGCCAAATGCAAATCTGTAGTGTTTTTAGCACATGAATCAAAAAGTGTTGAAGCAGATGTTTTAGTTTTTTTCTTTTGAAAGGGGAAAGCTACAAAGCTATTATGGTTGACAAAAATAAATTTGAGGTTGTTTCCTTTGTTACAAGTTTCTCACGAGCTTTTTCCATTTTGTTTAAATGTTAAGGGATTTTTGGCATCAAGAAGTGTAAATTTTTGTTGACTTGTGTTTATGAGATGGGCATATTTTATGTGAGCTTTATGGGACAATTTTTTATGCAAATGATAATTGAATATTTCCCTTTGAATTCTCTGTTAATTTCCATGGCAAATAATGAAAAAAAAAGCTTTGAAACAGGGGAAAATGTATATTAGTTTGTTTGTGATCCCATAACTAGAAGTCTTAGATTATTTTCACGGAATACAGATTGAAATTAATTTTTTTATTTGAAATATTTTGAATCATTAATTCAGCTTTCACAAAAATGTTAATGATTACTTTAACATGTCATGTTCTCTTTTGATTAGTTACTTGTAGCAAGCTTGTGTATGTATTTATGAAAACTAGTAAAGTTCCTCTAGTTAGAGTAGGCTGTGCATCTCATTATATACAACAATGTTGCATGGTGGTTGTTAGGTTGTATAATATTGACCTCGAAGTAAATAAAGTCCATTGTTAACTAAGGGAATCATCTGGCAGAATGTGCACAGAGTCCAGGTTTAATTCATTTGTTAGCAAATGCTGTCAAATCTTGTGTCTTATCCTTGCATAAGAAATTGTTTTAATAACAAACATGCCACTTTGGTTGCAAGTTTAAATTATTTGAGTTAATATTGTGTTAGTTTCCTTCCGAGAGGTCTAGATGTTTGATGCACAATTTTTTAAGGGTGGGATCTCATCATGAAGGTGTGAAATCCTGCTGGTTATATTGATAGCTTCACTGTTTGCATCTTGAGGTTTGAGGTTGCTAATTTGTGAAAAATTACAGCTGCAAAGCTCTCTGAATTGTAATTAATCTTGGTATTGAAATGCTGATGAGGCCAGCTGAAAACTACAGGATGTGTGAAGAAAACACTTTTTTTTAAAAGCATGCATCCTTTGAAACAAAGCAAACTAGTGAACAGTGAAGAACAATGTATTAGTGTATTTCCTTTCAAATGGTGATTCAAACTTCTGATCTATAGAAATGTCCATAGAAATGTTTATTAAATATGCCAGTGGTCACTGTTGTTGGTTGACAGAAAATAATTTGCATAACGCTAAGTACATAAAGCTCTTTGATGATGTCAAACATGGTTTCTTTCAGTGGAGTTCTGTGAAACGTTCTGTTTGCTTTGTTTTGCATGTGATCAAACAATCTTGTCATTCTGTAGTTAGTATGACTTTGACTAATCATGAAATCCCATGTGGGTTTTTCATGAATCTGACAGCTTGGGGAAAACTCATTTCCCTGCCAAATTTTTATAAATTTCCTATCACGGTGGTTTGCTATTAGTGGGAAATCCTGTAATTTGTTCTTTAATAATGTTACTAAAATGACTGCTGTTTGTCAACGAAGGGGATAAATACTAAATTAAAACAACTTAAGATCTTGCAAGCACCAAAGTTCAACACTGCTCTCTTTTTCTGGATTTTAAACTTGCAGTCAGCTTTTGGGTGATCTTTCAGGCAATTATTTTGATTAACAAAAAGGAAATGTGAGGTTTCAAATTCATTAGAATTTTGTTTTATTGTAATGAGAATGTCCTGTAGCTGATGAAAGACATTATCTTTTCATACAATATACTGAAATTATGGAGTTTAAAAGTGGACTTTAATCCTTGTTTAAGGATACTTTTTATTCAAAACAAGTTCCACTCAACGAGACAAAATCTTCTTTGTGTGTCTGCACTTTAAGCAGCTTTCAAAATGCCCACTCATTTCAAAAAGAAACTACATACCTGGAATGCGTTTACAAGTGTGTGTAAAATTGCATTCAATATTGAACAATAGCTTTTGACTTGCACTTTGTACTCAAAGACCTCATGTGACAGATTTTATTTCAGTGTGCCAGTTCTGCTCTTGAGAGTTAGGAGTAAACAGAGCTAGATAAACTGAACATGTTGAAGCCACTTAGGATCTTTACATTCTTAATTCAAGTGTTGTTTTGAACAGGGCAAAGGTCAAAAACAGCCACCATATCAAAACCTTCCTGTGTTATATTAGATTAAGTGTGAAAGTCATTTGTTTTAACTTAAGGAAGACGTTTGTTTACCCCCTCCCTTTTAAAGCCGCCCCCTCCCTATTTTCTGTTACAAACAAACATCAAATAACAGACTGCATTAGAAGAGTGTGGTTTTAGCGTATGATTTTGGGAAAAATTTATATGCAATATTTCCAAGCGTTGGGGTGGAGAGGGGGGTTGGGGGAAGAATTTACTGAAAAGAAATAATCGTTAGGTTTCACGGTCAGCAAAATAAAATATTGAGGCGCCCCCTCCATGCCAAAAAAAGTCGTTATAATTGGGGACTTGGCCTTCAGTAAATATGTAATAAATAAATTTTATATAAATTAATAAACATATTAAATAAATATTAAACAAATGCAGGTATATATCGTTTTCACTGTCACACTAAAAAAATAAATCGAAAACTATTCAGTGGGTAAAGACAAGAAATTTTGATCTTACTGGAAATGAATGAAGNTTTTTTTTTTAAGTGATGAAGCTCTTGAGTTGAATTCAATTTTTATTTTTGTATTTTTGTCTTTGAATGAAAACAACAAATTTTTAGTATCTTTTCTGAGACCAAAAGGTCTGTGTTCTTTGATACGACCTAGCAAATTACATGTATGGATCACAAATTGACTTTTTTTCCGTTGAAAATAAAAACAAAGAGGAACTTGGAAAGTCATTTCCTTGAGATTTGGGTTTTTATTATAAGGTAATTGTATTGCTGACAAAAAACAATTAATGGGTGTTAGAATGACTTCAAAATCCAGGGGACATATGCTCAACCCAGTGATGGGGAGAATTTAAGCATTGCATGACACATCTGTTATTAATAATTTTTCTTTTATTTTGAAGTTTACAGTTAGTGCTTTTGAAAGTGATCTTGATATAAGCCTAGAGTTACATGTATGCAGTGGAAGGAAGTCTCCAAAACTCTTTTTTGTTTTGTCAGAAAAATTTGTGTTTGAAGGAGTTATTCTGTTTTCAGGACTACATACTTGTCTAGTGTATTTATTTTCAAAATCAAGCACATATTATTTGTACTTGCGAACAGCATATGTATGTATTTTCTCATTTCAATTCTTGCAATAGGTCTACCTTTCCCGCATTCCACTTCAGTGCGTGCAAGCAATAGTATCATAGCAAGGTTGGGGTGGACATTTTCACAAATTTGCTTTATTTTTGTCCACCCCAAACTCGAGACCACTGTTTTTTGGAATGCAGGAAAGGTCTATTCTCCAGCAGACCCTTTAAGGTTATCTAGCTTAGTCTTGGACTATATACTGCTATGAAGATTACCACAAACTACAGTAATGTTGTAATTTTACAATCCAATTCTTTCTAGAATTATTATTTTAGAGTGTATGAGGAACAGTGAAAAAGAAAGATGTAATTTGAAATGTTTGTGTGCTTTCCTTAGGTGTTGAAAGTTTCAGAAAAAGAAGCTCTAGACACAAAGAAAAGACTTAATCAGGAGAGGTATGCCCTTCAGAGAAGACTTGCCCTTCTTCAAGGTCGCAGTGACAAGACTATGATTGGCATAAAGAGGCCACGTCACTCAGAAGGCGAGTCCTCAACTAGCAGTGAGGAAATTGACGTAGAAAACGATGAAGAAACTGGTTATGCCAGTAGTGAGTCAGACGATCGCTTTAGCATTGGTAGCTCTGCTGGCAGTGATGGGGGGTTAACAGCAAACTCAAGGAGAGTTAAATAATTTTATAATTCTGTGCATGAATTCAGTGATTGCATTGTTTCATGTCAACTTATCTGTTATGTTAACTGGTGCCAGATCTCCTAAATCTACTATTAAGCGGTTTTGCAGTCTTGTTGGGAAATTTGGTTTGGGGGGGGGGGGGGNGGGGCGCACAAATAAATTATGTACTAGTTTTGGTCAGATCATCAAATATTACAGATGGAATGCTTATGGGTGATGTTGTGACTTCTTGCTTTCTGTGCAAGACATAACATAATCTGAGCATTTTACGATCCAGTCCTACTGGTACAATAAGTGAATTATTGCACTTGTATAGATTAATTATCTTACCTTTCCTGAGTCTGTTATATCATTGAACAAAACAGTTTCCTAGGTACTAAATAAAGTAACCTATGGAGAAGTCATCCCATTACATTTTGGCAGAAAACATTTTCCTGTGTACAAACATTTCCTCTGGAGATTTCATTTTCAATATTTGTATCAAAGACTTTCGTCTACATCAACTGGTAACGTGCTCAGATGTCCTGAGGGAATTCGCTTATACTAATGTATCAACTTTAGCTAATTATGTCTGTTCACCAAACCATCTCATTTCTAAAGATGGGATGTCAAACATTTAAGCAGAGAATAATTTATGGTTTAGCAGTTGTAAATAGGGAAATTATAAATTACAATAGATCTCATCCATCCATGCAGAGAAAAATATAAATATGGCACTGTCGAATGATTTTAAAAATCAAATGTAATGTGCGGTTCCAGAAAATATCCATACTTCCCCACAGAAGGGATTGTAATTTCCTGGAGGTGGGGGGCTCTCTGAGACCAAAAAATTTAAAGAAATGTATGAAGCTTAACTGAAATTTCCAGAGGGGTGGGGAGGAGTTAGAAAAAATCCCTTCCGTTGGGGGAGGTATGGATATTTTCTGGAACTACACAATGTGTACACAATGTGCACAGATATGTCAAATCCATGTGGCAGTAACGAGTAACATTTTATGGCTTAGCATGAAATTGGTGGATGCTTTAAGCTCTAGCTAGCCAGCAAGTTGTTCTGCAATTTTCATCGTGCAAATCCCATTAATAGGACAGTATCAACGAGTCCTTTCTTCAGTGTCTATGTGAAGTCAAAATTATCGTTACCATACCAGCTCGGTAGTCTTATAAAGTCGGGTTAAAATTCTTTCTTTTCCTTTATGCAGTGCAATGACAAACTGATTGTTTAAAATCAGTTAAGCAGCAAATCCTAGGATGGTAAAAACTTGATCAATGTCTAGAAACTCAAATATGATATCTAGAACTGATACTAAAAAAATGGGCCAATCAGTTTTTGGTGTTGTTCAGAGAGCTAAAACAACATTTTAGTGTTTTTCAGACTTTTTCATTACCACAAATTCAAGAAATGTTTTGCGTGCTTTGTGAAACACTCAATGCCAATTCACTAGAAGATTTTTGGAATACACATCCTTGTTGTCTTAGCAAATACTTTCTGTCGTAAAACCTTTCTTGAAACTTGTGAATAATCTTTGGCCTTCAGACACAGCTGACACTTTAAAAAAATCCTAACCTTTCCTGTAGATAAATTGTAAATTCTAACAATCCAATGTAAATTCTTCCGGTTCATCACCAAATATTACATACTTAATTATTATCACTATTTATGATGTGGGATCTTAGAGGAGTTAACTGGCACGTCCACTATGCCTGGATCTCTTATCCAATCACTTCTCCTCTGTGTAATTATAAGCTTGGATGGTGGTTCTTGTATTTTTAATGTGATCTGTAAATAATGTGTATTTTTGAACAAACAAAAAAGTGTAACTAAAATGACATTTTTATAAATTATTATTAATGCCAGAGTTTCAAGGAATAGTAAAACATGTTTTGAACATCTTCATCTTTGACTTTTTGTCTCTGAGGTTGGGGTTGGTGGGTAAGAAAGGGGGGGGGGGGGTAAAAGAGTTAAATCCCACTAGCCTTTGGTTGCAAATAAGCCATTTCCGAGTGTCCTTTTGCCACTGTGGTAAAATGAGTCTTTGTGCAAAACCATTCATACAAGAATGTGTTCCCCTTACGGGTTCATTTTCATGCACGACCTGATCATATGAAATGTTTTGCATGAGGACTCGTTTTGAAACAGAGTCACGAGGAAACTCAGAAATCCAATCAAGGAGCGGATCAAAAAAAATTTGGAAAGAAGGGCAAACAAAAAAACAAAATTGGTGAGAGTGCAACCTAATACAAAACAACAACACTAACATCTTGCAGAACCACTCAGAGGATGGCTGGTTACTATTTAGTGCTTTAAAACTTTGAATAAGAACCATAATGAACTCCAGGCTCAAATAAACTTCAAAAATCTAGTAAATACTTGATTCCCAAAGCTGTGTTTAAAACAAAATGCCTGGCCAGGGGTGTTTAATAGAGGGAAATACGGAATTTTGATTTGCTCGATGGAATCTACCCAAGATTATGGAAATTGGATGTCATTTTTTCTTTACCATGCAAACATGAAACTAATCTTGTACACAGATCTCACTCTGTTTGATGCTTGGGCATGGAAGATCTGGGTTATAGATTTATGTGAAACTTCACCCCAATATTGGGTCAGTAACTGCAGGGAGGTTGATAACTGGGACTAGTCAGGTTGTGACAAACCAAAACAGGAACTATCTTTTTCATTTCTATTTGTAAAGTTCAAAAGAAGTGTCCACCTTGTCAACCTGTTTTGATGTCACAGCCTAACTAGTCCCAGGCCCCCATGGTTTCTGACCTATTTTATGTTAAAAGGAGAAGGTCCCTCCAAAAAACATACTTTTTTGTCAATGCTAATAAAAACCTTTCATTAAGTTTAGCCACTCACTGAAGTTTCAGCCTCTAAAGTGCAGGTTTTCCTTATGAAATGCATCTCCGAAGAAGCCCAAAATTCGAACATCGTTGCTGCCATTTTGAACAGTATTCAGAAGCCAGGTCATGGTTTTGTGACATCATTTTGTCCAAGAGATTTTGTCCAAATAGCTTCCAAGAGCCTTAAACTACCACTCTGGGTTATGGCTGCTCTTGAGCCATATTATTTTGAGCCAAACTCCAAAATGATATCATTGAAGATAGTGAAGTGAATAAAAGTAGATTTTGCCGACCTGGTGAAGGATGCCAAGTCAGTTGCAGGTTTTTCTCCTTCCTGCCAATTTCGAGTCGGACGGAATGACGTCACATAAACACAGCCTGGCTGCCAAGACAGTTTCAAAATGGTGGCCTCCAAAGTCGCTTTTTTTGAGACAAATTCATTCAGGATAGTGAGCACTTCAGAGGCAGAAACTTCGGTGAGTAGAATAGCTGAATGTTTACTTGCTATAGGCAAAGACAAAAAAAGTAAGCTTTTTTGGTGTGACCTTCTCTATTAATGATATCCAATTTTTTGATCTCATTAAGATTCCATCAGGCAAATAAAAACAAGTTGTGTGTACACTTCAAAAAATTCCAAGAAAAATATGGAGGCTGTGCCCCAGCCACACCTCCTTCCTAAATTCAAGGAAAAGACAAGGAGGGTGTGGTACACAAGAGTTTTTTTTATCTCGCTCCAACTAACTGTCGACCATACTGCTCTTTACATTTCTGTTCCCTGAGAAAATATATAGATTTAGCAAAGCCTAAAAGTGGAACTCCTGGTCATGCCAGACTGTTTAAAGCCTGATAAAGCTAACCCAGGATAAGTGAAAATTTCGATTTCAGTTTTTTTCAATTTGATGGTGAGATTTTCCGTTTATATTGTTTGGCCTTGTGAGTTTCAATAATCTTGAACTACACAAAGCAGAAGCAGTAAAAAACATTTTTATAAATGAAAAATTTATACTTTGGTTAACTTTTAATCCTGGGTTGGCATTAACTGGCTCAGTTCAGAACCACCCCGCCCTGATTACAGTAAGTTAGCCTGGTTTGAGCCCACGATCCAATCGAAAAAGCCAGTACTTGATCGGCTGTTAACTTCAAGGAAACATGTGACCTCAATGAGCTCAAAACTTGAGCCGACAATATGCTCACTAGATACTGGTCAGCGGATACCTCGTTTTGACAGGTGTCAATAATTGACATAAAATGGATGTCCAATATTGAAGGTGTACGCTGTAAACCACAGTGGCACATCCTATTAGCTGGACTATGGCCACCATGCTGTGCGACATCGCCGTCGTCATCATGCATACACGCCCACAAGCAATACCGCTAACCATTTTTCCATAAGAAAAACAATTCACAGGTTTCCACATGTATGAGTATGGAGCTCAACATGGTGGAAGGCTCCCCTATAATTACTATTTGTAGCTAAGAGAAAAAAAACAGCTGTAGGCGGTGTAACTTTGGTGGTAACCCACCTTTCAGTGGCTTGAAGAAACAGACAACCAAAACTGCAAAAACTAGTTTCAACATTAATGAACTTTATTTGTGAACAAGTGACACATTCGTTCTTCTTTGAGTCATTGAAAATTGCAGGTGAAATAAATTATACTAAATGCCACTTAAATACAATCTTCCAAAAATAAAGATGCGTACATCGGGCATTCTGTTGTGCCAGGACATGTATTTTAAAGACCCAAACTGTCATTATTATCATGGCAACACAAATCCAATTTACAATGTTAATAGTAGTCTTGGACTAAAAATATAGTTGTGTATTTCATGGAAGAGTCACTGCTTCACAGTTTACATGATATCACCCAAAACTGTAGGTTTTTCACCATTAGGCACAATTTTGAAACTGACCAGAGGAAACTTAAATTACGGTAAATTGAAAAGAGATTAACTTTCCTGTCAACAAGGTCATTTGTATTAAGACAAATACTATTGAGTATTTAATTTAATTAGAGGGCATGGATTTGATCTGCATCTGTATTATTACAAAAAAATGTTATTAACAATAACAATTATTTATATTTTGATATAATAATGTATGTATGACCTCAAAGAGAAAGGAATTGAAAGTTTACACAGCCTCAAGATATTGTTCTCTCATTTGACTGAAGTAGCTCTCGGAAGTTCAACACAAATAACATTTTTGTATGTCTAGCAGAATTAGAATCTCTCTGGGTAAACGTTCAGTTAAACATGTCAGAGGGTCATACAGGGGTATTCTTGTGATGCGTGATTAGCTGATTTTATTTTCTGTGAAATCTGAATTTAGGAAATTATTCTTCGTGACTCGTAACCTGAAGATTTTGTGTGACCTGTGGAGAACCAGAATTATTAACAGATATTCGTGATTTTAACGTTCTATTCTATGTGATTTTAAGGTGCAAGTCCTCTGAATGGTTAGAGTCATCTATCGAGAGTGGTTTAGGTGTGCGATTTGCGATATGGAGCCTTGACTT